ATACTTTTACGAAGACGGGTACTTTCAGTAATACCGATACTAATATGAATACTAGTGTTCCTGCGAATATTAAAAAACATACCCATATTGATAGTAATTTTACTTTTTATTTGTTACCAATATACACGCAAATGCTAACATTAATACTAATATGCACATAAGTGATACAGTTCCTCCGCAGATTAATGCGCATAGTCTTATTAATTTTTCTCAGTATTTATATTCACATTAAAAAACCTACACTAACATGAATAGCAGTATTACCACTTGATACTCCAGATAATACGATTATGCATAGTATGAAAAGCGATACTGCTATTGATACCAATATTAATGCTCCTACGAATACTAATAATCACGTTCAAACCAAATACAAAAAACAGACACATCAATGTACCAAAGAATCTGTATTTTCACATACCAATAAATAATATACTCGTATACTACTATTCCAATGTTACCATAGACTATGAGACTATACACTGGTTAATATTAACACTAAGAATAAGGCAGAGACTAAGACCAAGACTAATACGAATACTAAAACTCACACTAGACATTAACACTACCATTAGTACACCTATTGTATAGACTTATATTCAGACTAATACTAACGCTGACATTGGAATTGACATTGACACTGACACCAACACTAACAGTAACACGAATCAACACGCTAGAACGCAGATACTAATACTAACACTAATGCCTAATGCACATCTGAAGACTACTGCGCGTAAACAACGAAACCATTTCCGATCAAGCATGCTGCGCGCTGTATTGGCTCTAAGGCTCCGAGAACCAAAAAACCAAAAAAACAAAAATCCAAAACCTTTGTCAGGGGGGTCGAAACTTTTGGATTTTTTGGTTTTCCTAGGGTTTTTTTGGTTTTCCAACAGAAAACCAAAAAAATCCAAGGTTTTTTTGGTTTTCCAGCAGAAATCCAAAAAAATCCAAGGTTTTTTTTGGTTTTCCAGCAGAAATCCAAAAAAACACAGGTGTTTTTTGGTTTTTCACGAGAGACACAGCAGAAAAACCAAAAAAACCTTGTGTTTTTTTGGTTTTCCACCGAAAATCCAAAAAAAGCCATGGTTTCGCCAAGGCAAAGCCCAAAAAAGCAAAAAAGACCTAGGAAAACCAAAAAATCCAAAAGTTTCGGGCCCCTCAGAAAGGCTTTGGATTTTTGTTTTTTTGGTTTCCGCCGTCGTATCGTATGGTTTCTTTTAATGTTTCTTGCTTATGAATACAGGCATATGAATTTGAAAGCGGACATGAGTAGGCACGACGTTGTAAAGAGACATGACTTCACATCAGCCATGATAGAGAAGGTATCATCCCCGAAAATTACGCAAAACACGAATCGTATGCCAAACGCGAATCCCTGCCAAGAGAAGGTTTTGACGGTATTTACAATGGAAAAGAGGCCGAGGTAGGTCATGGGGGGGGTGTGTCCATATATATATATATATATATACATATATATATACACCTATCTATATATATATATATATATATATAGGATTAGGTGAAACTTCATAACGAAGAAGGCTGCAGTATTTCCCGAAGGAACGAAAGGAGCTATAGGTCACAGGCTGATCAGCTTGCGGCAGAACGAGGCGGGCAAGCGAGCGGCAGCCGACTAGGTTACGTGCCACTCGACATGTCCCAGTGTATTCCCAGATGATGTTGCCTATTCCAACCCACTGTCACAATTGTTTGTATGGTCTCTCGCATGCCCTTCTTTACATTGTGTTACTGAAATCCTGTAGCATCCCATGCTCCTCAGCGCCTTCCGTAATATTCTGTGTGACGATGTCCCTGCACAATGAAGCCCGGAGCCCTGAAGTCTGCGCAGATGCCCGGTCCTAACATGGTCCCCAGCAGGATCCCCGACCAGAAGTCACTCAGAGGCCGCCTGCCAAAGGACGCACTGGGCAGTACCAAGCTTGAGCATCTAAAGTCACCTACATGTGTTTGTAAGCTTAGCATTTGGGGCTTTGGTATTTCGGCCATAGTAGCAGCGGGCATGAGAAAACTGCGGGATGTGCCGTGCTGGCATTGCTGGCCCACAGACTACGCCTTGAAGAATCCTGCTCCAGGCTGTAAAGAGCCGTACAGATTTTGCATGCCCTACCGCTGAGTCCCAAACCCTAAACCTACACTCAAACCTATATCATGGTTTAAGGCCTTGAGTCTTGGGCTGACGTCGTAGCCTCAAGCATCGAATGGGACGTGATATGAAACAGTTTGGGGTTTACAGAGAACGCCTTTCGTCCATCAAACGCTCACCACCACGCTCTGGAGGGCTTACAGAGAACGGGGCTCTTCTCAAACTGTCGCTTTTTATACTTTACAGTACCACCGCTACCTTCCACCACTGCCTTTAACTACCCACTCGTACTCGTACTCTTACTCGTACTCGCACTCGTGCTAGTACTAGTACTAACACTACTACTACTACTACTACTACTACTACTACTACTACTACTACTACTACTACTACTACTACTACTACTACTACTACTACTACTACTACTACTACTACTACGACCACTACTACTACGACCACTACTACGACCACTACTACTACTACTACTACTACTACTACTACTACTACTACTACTACTACTACTACTACTACTACTACTCCTGCTTCTGCTGCTGCTGTGGCTCTTCAGCAGTCTTACAGCCTTCGAGTTCGACGACACAGACTCTGCTCCTAAAGCTCAAGCTCCAAACCTTAGCTAAACCCGAAGCCACGAACCTTTAGGGTATATGTCTGTGAACTCTAGACCGGGAGTCATGTAAGCTCTGCGACCTCTCCAGCAACTCGAGAGCTCCATACAGTGTTGTCGGTTTGATGGCGGGTTATGACTAGGATACCCAGTAACCTAAGAATAGAAAGGCCTCTCTTTTTGGTATTGGGTAACTTTTATAAGGAACCTAGGACTACAAAAAGGGAATAAGGGTACTACTGGGCATCCTAGTTGAACTCGGGCCCCATCTGCCTGGCAACCTCGACCCGGGAGATGTCATCCAGCTCCTGCGAATTCGTCTACCGGGTCTTAAAGTAAAAGCCAGAAAGTTGGAATATGATTAAGATACAGTTACACAATACCAAAAAGGGAGCCCTTTTTATTCCTAGGATCTTCGGAGCTTTTGGGTTTTATCCTAAACCCTTTATGGTAAATTATAAGGTATCCTACCCTGAAACCATATTCCAACTTTCTGGCGTTCCCTTTACAAGCTTTCCACAGGAGCTTCTTGAAGAGATAGGGGTCCCTTGGGGGAGGGGTGGAGTCCTTGTAATGCAGTTCCTACTACTTCGGGTTTAGTGGGGATAGAGGGAGTCCTTGGGTTTGCGGTCAGATCTTGGGGTTTAGGGTTTAGGGCTTAGGGTTCAGGGTTTAGGGTTCAGGGTTTAGGGCTTAGGGTTTAGGGTTTAGGGCTTAGGGTTTAGGGCTTAGGGTTTAGGGTTTAGAGTTTAGGGTTACCGATATGGTGCGCAGGGGTCGCAATGCAGGGCTTCGGGTTGTTTCGAGGACATGAAGCTGCAAGGCTCTGATGCAAATGTACGGCTTGTCTATAAGGCGCTGCCTAGTAGCAGCGATGCTATGCGGAAGGGTAGAGCTACTGGATTTCGGAAGTTCAGTGCTACCAACCCTCACCAGGTTCAGGCTATGCAAACGGTCCTCCTTACTTTAGTAGTACTGCAATCTTGAAGAGCAGTCTAAATATGATACTTCACATTGGATTCCTACTCGGATGACGATCATGTTGTTGGTTATGCCGTGCTGGTGATGCGGGCCGTCTTCATGTGAAAGCTCTCAACTGAGCGTCTGAACTCAAAAGAAGTGTGCGCCCTCTTAGATGGTCTTAGCTGTCGAATTCCGCTCTGGAGCACCAAGCCGACGGTTGAGATTAAGCTCTGTCCGGAACTCCGCACTGACAAGCTCAGATGTCCTTGGCAGAGTAGAGATTGCCATAAAGGCCGGCCAGGACCAAGGCTGGGTATAATATGGCAGCCATAGGCTGCGAGGCCGCAGGAAGACGGGAAAGCGCGGCCGGTCGCCCTAACCTAAAGCGGACACTTTTGCACCCAGGAGCTGCGTCTGAGACCTAACAGGGCTGTGAACAGGGCAGCCAAACTCCTTGCGGTCTGTGTACCCTTTACCTTACCCTGCACCTGCAGCCGATGAGGCTTGCTCTGCTTTCGTGAAGGAGTGGTAGGTGTTTGATGCATGCGGAGGATGCAGCTCAAGCCTGTGAGAAGACGCGGCAACGGAGTAGAATCGAACTGCTTTGCTCCATGATGTGGGTCGCCGTATGTTGTGTTAGTCTACTTGTCACGTCTCAGACCAAGACAAGGAAGGAGTCAGATTCCCGTCCCAACTTCAAAGGTTCAAAAGATGAAGAGTAGCGGCAACATCAGCAGCAGCAGTAGGAGTTGCAGCAAGAATTGCAGTAGTAGTAGTAGTAGTAGTAGTTGTTGTTGTAGTAGTAGTAGTTGTAGTAGTAGTAGTAGTAGTCGCTGTCGTAATCGCAGTCGTAGTCAGTCGTCGTAGGAGAGTAATGGCAACAGCAGCAGCAGTAGCAGCAGTAGCAGTAAGTATAAGTAGTAGTAGTAGTCGTAGTAGTAGTAGTAGTAGTAGTAGTAGTAGTAGTCGTAGTAGTAGTCGTAGTGGTAGTGGTAGTGGTAGTGGTAGTGGTAGTGGTAGTGGTAGTGGTGTGGTAGTGATCGTGGTCGTGGTCGTGGTCGTGGTCGTAGGTAGTAGGTAGTAGTTAGTAGTTAGTAGTAGCGGTGGTAGTAGTTAGTAGGAGTAGGAGTTGGAGTAGGTGAGAAAGCCAGTGAGTGAGCAGGTGTAGTAGCAGCGGTAGTCCATAGTAGTAGAGTATCGATAGCTCGCCGTGTTTCCAAGCTGTCATAGCTTCCCATGCACAATCCTGGCTCAACCACTCTCAAAATCATTCATGTGATATTTGCCAAAACTTCGATTTGCTCACTCGCTGTCGTCGTGAGTCTCGTTTGCATCTGTGTCCCTCTCTTTCTGTCGTCGCCCACAGCTCAAATTTAACAATTCATATGAATATTTCTCCCATATGCTTTGCAAACCCTGGGCAGGCTGGCCATCATGCCAGCTGCCACTGCCATCTGTTTTCACAGAGCTCTGTTCGACGCTTGCTCGGTCACACCCAAGCATCAGATGCCAGCGCCCCCTCAAGGGTTCCTCCTCAGGCAGGGGCACCTCCTCATTGGTTCCCGAAAGCACATAGAGAGATGCACCATTGCTGAGCAGCTTGGTGAACTCAGGCTTGCCGTGCTGTTTCAGCGCGGCCTTCACTTGCTTCATCGTCGCCACTTCTGGCAACATCAAGGTCACAGCATCCGATGTGAGGACGTTGTGCACGCTAACGGGAACCTGGGCGTAGGAGAGATTGACCGTAGGAGGATTTCCATTCTCCTCCTTGGCTTCCTTGGCTTCCGGTAGCCCCAGGCCCAGCACCAAGAGTTCTCTCCTCTCACCCAGGAGCTCCTCGTCGGGGAACTGCTTGAACGTGTTCCCGGTCCTGTCTACAAGCTTTAAGGATACCACTACACGCTGTCTCTCTCTCTCTCTCTCTCTATCTCTTTTTGTTTCTCTCTCTCTCTCTCTCTCTCTCTCTCTCCATCTCTGTCGATATTGTGTTGTACATATATAGACACATATACCCGTATACCGGTTAGTGATGGTTATGATTACACAAACGCTTGCATGTGTGTATGCGTCTGCACATGTTTACACACAGAAGCACACATGTCTCATACTCATAATATTGAGATAATGTATGTACAGATGTACAGACATAAACATAGCTGTTAGATATCCGTATATGTATGTACATCCAGCATCGCTCCCTCGATGCATCCATCCATCCCTGAATCCCTCCGGATGGATGGATGGATAGATGGATGGCATGGATGGCCGGATGCATGCATGCATGCATGGATGGATGGGATGGACGTTTGTACGTACGTGTATGCATACATGCTACACGTAAGTGTGTGTGTGTGTGTAGATGTACATACATGTAGTATACGTATATGAACTACAATGTAACACCATACAATACACTATAGTGTACATAGTATAACGTAGTATTCTAGTTTACTAGAACAGAACCCAACACAATGAAAAAGGTATAATGTAAACTAATGTAACATTACTTGACATAACAGAACATACACCCGAAAACAGCATATAATAGGAAAACAAAGCAAACGACATGATTGCAAAGAGATACGGCATACTATGCCATATTCTAACATAATACAGTCTGATGAATATAAAATAGTAGAGTAAAATTTAGCTTAGCATAGTAAATCCTAATCAAGATATGGTATAATAAAAGTATGATGAATGCGAAAAGAACTGAATCGAATAACTTAAGGCATTGCATCTTATGCTTTTGGATCACCCGCGGTCCTCTCTACGAGCTGCATACGCTGGAGGGCCTCCGCGGTGCGGCCGACGAAGCGAATCAATGCCATCTTCACCTCGAAACTCTCAATTTTCCCCAGCAAAAGTCTACCATAGGGGCCTTGCTGACAACAGTATGGCACGCACCATGGGCTTCAATCGTGCAACGTAGAGAAGTCGCGCAGCGCTTCCGATGGGAGGTTCGCCTATGTGCGGCTCCGTTTTGGTGCGGCGGAAATTTTGCGCCCATGTCCTTTCATTACACTTGATCCGTGAGGCCGCACCGGTCCATTCACGGGCCACTTTTGGCCTCCACATGACTGAACCCAGCCAGTACTTGGGTCTCGGGGTGGTCTCCTGCCGCGGTGCTGGTGAAGATCCTGGTGGTCAAGGTGGTCGTTTGTCTTCGTCGTCGTTTGTTCGTCATGGTGCGATCCACGCTGGAATCTTCTATGTATATAGGGACTACAGCGGAACATTATTTATAATTGTTCCGACCCCTACAACAGCCTCTCAGATCCTGAAACTCCATTAATTGGGCTCTAAAGTCCCTAGATGGTTTAAGATTTAAGCCCTAGACCCCGAACCCTGAAAGCCCTAACTTAGAGGTCTGCTGGCTTATAGCTTTTGCCTAAACCCTAAGCTCCGAAACCCCTAAACCACTAAACCCTAAACCCATAGATTCTAACCCCCTAAACCCTAAACTCCGAAAAAAATCCCAAACCCCTTAACCCTAAACTCCTAAAAATTCCAAACCCCTAAACCCTAAACTCCTAAAAATCCCAAACCCCTAAACCCTAAACTCCTAAAATCAAACCCCCTAAACCCTAAACCCCTAAAGTCCTAACCCCTAAACCCTGGCCCTGTCCTGAAGCATTGTCGCAGTTGGTGGGACGGAAATCAGAGCCTCGCCGGCCCGTGTCCCGTGCCTTACAAGCACCTCAGGGGGTGTCAGAAAGCCCCCTAAACCCTAAACCCTAAACCCTAAAGGGCTCCCTTAAAGGATTCCTTTAAAGGGTTCCTGTGATGGATCCTACAAGGGCTACTAAAGGATTTAGAAATGTGTGGGGCTTGTTCAAATCAAGATACCTTCAAGAAGGGGTCCCTGCATTCAGGATCCTACTTGTAACATTTCATTTAGCATCTATATTGTGGCGACCTGGGGGGGTGTTAGAAACTTGAAGGGGTCCTTGACAATGGGGCGTCTTGAATTCGGGGCTTCCGCATAAGGATCTTCGGTATATGGGGTCCCGGACTCTCTACATCCAAAACCTCGACTCTGAGCGAGTCGACCTTGTCCTTCTGCTTGGACGCCGGCGCCGGAGTGACCGGGTCATTCGGCTGAGTGACTGGGTCAATTCGTTGCGAACTCTCCGAGCTCTTCTGGGGTGCCACCAGCGCAGGCGCTCTAGGCACCGTCATGGAGACTTCGGGGACGGCATCTTTGTCCGGTCCTTTCTCCATCTTCTCCAATTCATCCCAGTCCAGCAGTGAACTCTGAGTCCTCGGTGAGCTTACAGGAGCCAGCTTAGAAGATATCTCCTTCTCCGCGACTGCCTGGCTCTGGTGGCCATTGGCTGGCCTGTCTGCAGCCTTTTGGGCTGCAGGAAGGCTGGGAGTGGAGAGCTTGGTGATGTCATCGCCATTCCTGATGGGTTCTGCTGCTGTAGCTGCTTCCGTTCTGTTCCCTCTCGCGCTTGAACTGTCTTCTTCAGTACCAGAGTTGGAGGCCAGTGTAACCCACTGCCGCAGCTGCTTCTCCACGATCGGATTCTCGACGGCTGCCTGAGAATTAGGATAGGGATATCCTATATAAACCCCCTTATAAAGAACCCCAATAAGGTAGGGATATCCCTATAAAATGACCCTAAACCCTAAACCTTATGTGCTTTTTGGGTCCCTATAATGCCTTCACCAAGGAAGATGCCACGGGCGGGAGCTCCTTCAGAGCAGCCTCTGGCAAGCCTGGGCTCTTCTGAAGGAACTTGACTTGAAATACCATAATAGGGATCTATAGTAAATAGTACCATAATAGGGATCTAGAGTAAATAATACCATAATAGGGATCTAAAGTATATAATATGGTTACCATAACAGGGATCTAGAGTAAATAATATGGTTACCATAATAGGGATCTAGAGAAAATAATATGGTTACCATAATAGGGATCTAGAGTAAATAATATGGTTACCATTATAGGGATCTCGATCGAGAGAATAATATGGTTACCATAGTAGGGATCTAGAGTAAATAATATGGTTACCATAATAGGGATCTAGAGAAAATAATATGGTTACCATAATAGGGATCTAGAGTAAATAATATGGTTACCATGGTTTATAGGGATCTAGAGTAAATAATATGGTTACCATAATAGGGATCTAGAGTAAATAATATGGTTACCACAATAGGGATCTATAGTAAATAATATGGTTTTTCTTATTATGGTAACTTGAACTAAATCCCTTAACAAGAACCCAGAAGCTTGATACCATGGGTGGGGGTGCCGATGGAGGCGTTGGGACTGCAGACGCAGCAAGTCCCAGTTGGTCTCCAGCTGTTGCACTTGATGGCGCATGCTTCGGATCAGCGACCTTCGTTTGGGGAGCTGACCCTTAACTACAGTGCTAGCTGCTAGCTGCAGCATACGGCCCTGGAGACACTCTACAGTAGATCTTCAGGATCCACTTCGCTGAAGCCTTGACGTGCTGGAGCCTACCTTCCCACTTTGTAAAGGCCTGGAGCTGAAATCCCGGCGCCTCGAAATGTGTACAATGATTGCCTATTCCGGTAGTACTAGCCTAGAAACAGTAAAACAAAACGCAGTCATCAAATCAGAGCTGCCTTGCCCTCTCCGGCTTGCGGTGGTGTCGCTTCTGCCCTGGGCAGTGCAGCTGAAACACAGAAAATCAAGCACTGATGCTTTTGTATGCTGTTGGTAGCAGTAGTATACGAGTAATAGTAGTAGTAGTAGTAGTCGTCGTCGTCGTCGTAGTAGTAGTAGTAGCAGGAGTAGTAGTAGTAGTAGTAGTAGTAGTAGTAGTAGTAGTAGCAATAGTACCAGTAGCAGTAGTAGTAGTAGTAGTAGTAGTAGTAGTAGTAGTAGTAGTTGTAGTAGTAGTAGTAGTAGTAGTAGTGGTAGCAATAGTACCAGTAGCAGTAGTAGTAGTAGTAGTAGTAGTAGTAGTAGTAGTAGTAGTAGTACTAGTACTACTAGTACTAGTACTAGTACTAGTACTAGTACTAGTACTAGGACTAGTACTAGTACTAGTAGTCGTGGTGGTGGTAGTAGTTTTAGTATTAGTATTAGTATTAATATTAGTATTAGTATTAGTATTCGTATTCGTATTAGTACTAATACTAGTACTAGTACTAGTACTAGTAGTCGTGGTGGTGGTAGTAGTATTAGTATTAGTATTAGTATTCGTATTAGAGTTAATGTTAGTATTAGTATTAGTACTAGTATTATTATTGTTATTATTAGTACTAGTAGTGGTAGTAGTAGTTAGTAGTAATAGCAGTAGCAGTAGCAGTGGTACTAGTGGTACTTGTGGTACTAGTGGTACTTGTGGTACTGGTGGTACTAGTGGTACTAGGCAGTAGCAGTAGCAGTGGTACCAGTGGTACTTGTGGTACTAATGGTACTAGTGGTACTGCTGGTACTAGTGGTACTAGTGGTACCAGTGGTACCAGTGGTACTAGTGGTACTAGTGGTGCTAGTGGTACTAGTGGTAGTAGTAGCAACAGCAGTAGCCGTGGTAGTGGTGGTGTTACTCGGTGGTAGTGTTGGGAGTAGAAGAAGCAATGGAATTAGTAGTAGAAGTAGTAGCAGTAGTAGTAGTAGTAGCAGCAGTAGTAGTAGCAGTAGTAGCAGTAGTAGTAGAAGTAGTGGTGGTAGAAGTCGTAGTAGTAGTAGTAGCAGTAGTAGTAGTAGTAGTAGTATTAGTGGTAGTAGCAGGAGTAGTAATAGTAGTGGTGGTAGTAGTAGTAGTAGTAGTAGTAGTGGTAGTGGTAGTGGTAGTGGTAGTGGTAGTGGTAGTGGTAGAGGTAGAGGTAGTGGTAGTGGTAGTAGTAGTAGTAGTAGTAGAGTAGTAGTAGTAGTAGTAGTAGTAGTAGTAGTAGTAGTAGTAGTAGTAGTAGTAGTAGTAGTAGTACGGTAGTACGGTAGTACTGTAGTACTGTAGTACTGTAATACTGTAGTACTGTATATAGTACTGTGGTACTGTAGTGTAGTAGTAGGAGGAGCAGCAGCCGCAGCAGAAGCAGAAGGAGGATGGGTAAACGCACTAACAGAGACTATTAATAGTAGTACTAGTAGTAGTGGCAGCGGCAGCAGCAGAAGCAGCCGCAGAAATAGCAGCAGTAGCCACAGCAGTAGCGCGGTAGCGGTAGCGATTGCCATAGTGGCAGCAGTACCAGTAGCACAGCATCAGCAGCAATGGAACCAGCACGGCAGCAGTCGCAGCTGCTGCAGAACCAGCATGAGCTGCAGAGGAAGTGGCAGCCGTAGCTGGTTGTAGCAGTAGGGTGACGAGAGGAACATCGATGGCAGGAGGAGGAGGAGGAGGAATGGAGGAAGCGATGGGAGGAGGAGGAGGAGGAGGACGAGGAGGAAAGGGAGAGAGAGTGTGAAGAGCTTATGTAGATGCTGACGGGTTTCATGGACATTGAGAGCTGACAGGTTGCAGATGGTTTCTTGAAAGTCATGACAGTCGACAAGCAATACCAAGCAAGGCAAAGCTTGTCAAACCAATCTATCGGAAGGCGCAGGCGATGCTGTCTCACTTCAGTTGTACACCACAGCCCTGGCGATGGCCAAGGATTGGCAAAACACCAATAGTAGTAATATAGTTTTATAGTTATACAGTTATACAATAGTCATATAATATACTATAATGTACTATAACAAACTATGACTATAATATACCATATTTTTAGTATAATTATACTACATGCTGATGAGACACAAGTTCTGCTGGCGGGCATGCTGCTCCCATCCATCGGCCACCTTCTGGAGGAGGCCGACAACTTCGCGGACGCTCTCCTTGCGGGTTCAGGGTTTACGTGTTTAGGGTTCAGGGTTTAGGGGTACTGTATTTTGAGGTCCTTATAACAAGGATCCTACTATTTAGGGTACTACATTAGGGTCCCCCCTGTTTCCTTGCGAGATCAGCTTTGTGCACAGGAGATTAGATTAGAGTGCGTAATATAGAGGCCTTAATCAATAGAATAGTTGAAATAAGGAGCCCCAAAAACAGCATTTGCAATTCGTTAAGCCCCTAGACAACATGTTTGGCGTTCGGTTGAGGTGTGTCTCCAGGCTGACACCTTTCACGATGGAGGTTCGAGGCCCAGCACGTTTGACTTTGCTGCAGCTGCTGGGATGTAGCATGGCAGCCTGAAATCATTTCGAATCCAAGCTGCTGTTAGCAAGCATCTCTTGAATATGGAGACAAGCTAATTCAAAACACAAGTTCTGCAGTTCTACGTAAGCGTTACTGACCCCAGAACAAAACTCAATGGTGAGGCACAAGTTTCTGACATAGACAGTGCAACAAATCTCTATAGAAGCCAAAACCCCCGCCCAAATTCTTAAGACAGCGGCCGTAATAATTAGAATAGGGCTTTGGGGTATATTATACCATAGTTGTATTAAGAAGCCCCCAAAACCCTATTCTAATTTCTAAGGCCTCTACATTAAGCCGCCAAGCTTCGTATGTCGGCGCATCAGCCGGCTTCTCATTCTCTGGAGCTTGCTCTTTGGCCGGTGCAGCACCAACCTCAGTGCTGCCACCCCGAGACAAGGGTTTAGGGTTTAAGGTTTAGGCCACTTAGGACTTATCGGGTTTAGGGTTTAGGGTTGGGTACTTAAGCTGAAAGCTTTGTCGAACCCAATCCTGGACCATGTAAAACACAACGACGAACCTCTAAGTCTACAGCTTGTTCAGACCCATGCTCTGGAACTAAGCTGTTAAGGTCATGTATACTGTCAAACCACATATAGACTGCATATATGTATAGATACATATGTATGACCAATAACAAAAGGTTGAACAGGTGAACTACTTCGGACATGTAGAACATAAATGTAGCTACCGACATGTACATAGCAATAGAACAATAAATACACAGACAAATACACGTAAATGTATGTGTGCAGATACATGTGTGTATATGTGTATATATACATATATATGCGTGTGTGCGAGAGAGAGAGTGTGGGTGTGTTCTGGCCCCCAAGTGCTGTCGGGGCAGAAGCATATCTACATGTGTATATATATATATATATATATGTTCTCTTTATCTATTTATTTGATTATGTACTTGTTTGTTTATTTAGTGAACCTATCGAGTAGTTTTCATAAATTCACGGCCAATGAAGCCTTTACATTCGTGCTGATGTCTGATACTACGCTTAGGATACTATCGTATGCTATCGTACTAAATCCTAGAAAGGAATGCGTAGGATACTATCGTATGCTATCGTACTAAATCCTAGAAAGGAATGCGTAGGGCCCCTGCGGCATTCTGCTCCTGGCACGGAATCTGGTGGGACTGAGGCGGGAGCCGGGTTGATAAGGTTTAGGGTTTAGGTGGGTTCAGTGTCCGTAGAATACAGCTTAACATAGCTCAAAGTCGAATAATTAACAGTATATGATCGGTTTGTTTTCCCGGGCATTCCAAGAACTCCGGGTAATCCAACATCTTGCCTTCATGATTCGAACGGCTTGTATATATATATATATATATATCATTGTACACATGATAAGGCAGCCTAAGGACGTAATAAGGAAGCCCAGGACATGTAGGCTTCTGTCTCAGGTTTCCCTCCGGAGAGTTATTCGAGATGATTCGGATTGAGAGGCTGCAGGAACCAAGTTTCAGGACCTACAGGGGCGAATTGTACACTTTGTGGCTCCGTTCTCCACGGCTACGGATCCAGGGTGGAAGCCGCGATGATATCACAGCTTCGAGAGACTGGGTCGGACGGCTAAGGGAGTGTAACGAATGAAACAGAAAGCACAGCAACAACGATGTTCCGAAAACGGCCGCAGCGAAGACCTTGAGCTATCTTCGGAATACCCTACACCCTAAACCCTTAAACCCTACACCCAAACCCTAAACCCCAAGAAGAGAGCCGTGAAGCACCCCGCCTTGGCTTGCAGCTCCTTGAAATACATCACGGCACTCAGCGCCTGCTGTGCCGAGGCCTGACCAATGCTTGAGCCCACATAGCCTCTCTCACTATATATGAATAAATGAATATAAATAAATATGTATATATATATATATACACACATGCACCGATGCACCGATATACCTATACATCTATGAACCTATGTACCTGTATACATATATACCTATATACCGATGTACCTATATATCTATCTATCTGTCTGTCTTTACATATGTATATATGCACAGGCATAGGCATTTCGTACCCACCCCCTAGAGTCTGGGATGTTGAGACCGAAATCTTTGGACAGCAGGCCTTGTTCCGCATCAGCATCTCTACCTCCATCCACAGTTCGCACACCTGCTTGGAGGTTCATGGGTAGTTATAAGTGGAGCTATAAAGTCCCCTAATATGGGTTATGAGTATACTTACCCTACTTATAACCCTACTTAAAACTACCCGTGAACCTACAAGTGGACCCCCGCATGTTCGCGCGCAGGGATGAATCGGGATGTAGTATATTGGCCTTAACAGTTAGAATAGGGTTTCGGGGTTCTTATACTATAGTTATAACAAGGAGCCCCCCGACAAATAGCAAAGGTAATAATTTGGGCCCCTATTTTGGGCTGGTGTCATGCGGATCCTATCTTGCAATGTCGCTGTGCTGCAAGGCTTCATGTCCAATCTGGGCCAACAAATGCCACTTTTACCGGCTGCGAGGTACAAGGCGCAAATGTAAATGCTTGCCCTAAGTCTTACTTTCCGGTTCGCGACTTGCCTTCCCTTATGCAAGTCGTTTATTAACAACGAAGCTCGAAGACTGGGAACAAGTACGACATCATTGCAACTGTATAATGTGCAGGTTGGTTTTATTCGATAGGCTCGCAATCTGTGATTGTACACGGATGTGTTTTTGAGTCGCATGCGCATGTCCCAAAACTTGCCAGTACAACCGAACGGCCTGCGATTGAGCTGACAAGCCAGTAAGTAGCCTTAATCATCATCAACGAATCATCAACATCAAAATTATCCTAGTTCCCCAACAACTCTCAAGAAGGGGGTCCTTGTCCCCCTGCTGTTCAGTTTAGTTTGTGGACGCCCCCACAAACAAATAAACACAAGGAATGCTGCTACGGAGCTCGGTTTCATTCATTCATCATCATCATCATCATCATCATCATCATGAGTTCATCATCACCAGCAGCGACAGAAGAAGCAGCATCACAACCCGCAATCAGCACAACCAGCAAAACTCCGCACCTGAAACCCTAAACGCTAAACCCCTAAACCCTTTCATTTGCTTCCTCCCTTGCAGCCTGCAGGTTGCTCGAAGAGACGTTGGACATGGCTTCAAGCCTGAAGGGATCACTTCGAGAGCTGTACATTTAAGCAACGAGGGAGAAAACAGTTTTATTTCATACTGGTTCCTATAAGGGAAAAAAGTATTAAGGTACATTACTCCAAAGCCCAGTTTGGAAGACAAAACAAGCGAGGGAGAGGGAGAGAGCGAGGGCGAGAGGGACTGAGAGACAGAGAGAGCGAGAGATAGATGGGGGAAGAGGGAGAGAAAGAGACAGACAACAAAAGCTGCGTAAAACTACGTTAAGAGGGACTCGGATCTAGAAGAACCTCCCTTGGACACTTCCCCTGACAGGCATGAACCCTGCTGCAACCTGCTTTAATTCCATGGCAGGGTGCAAGGCAAGGTGTCTGCAGAAACGGGGCCTCTGGTTGATTCTTGATGGTGGTGATGTAATGTAGGGGCCTTGATAATTAGAATAGGGCTTGGGGGTATGTTATGCTATATTCATATAATAAGGAACCTCAGATAGTATAGGTGATTATTAAGGCCCCTATAGCAAGTCCGCCAGTCATTGATTGCTGCCGTCTTCGGCAGGCGGAGAAAAGCCCAATACACATTCTACCGGATGTTCGCACGAGCTGTTACGGATTTGGGCCCACAATTTTACTATGCTCCGCTGGCCATAGGCTACGGCATACCGACCCTGCCAAGAGGTGTTTAGGGAAGGTTCTTGGGTAGTTACTGTTCTTTGTTGGGTCATAAATGCAGAATCTGCTGCAAGTAGTGCATGCTTGTAAATGCTACCATTGTTACAACTCTTGTCTGCATGAGCGGCCATACCACGGCTCTGGTTGCGACTCCTCTTGTGACAATCTGCATTATGGCTGACTTCAGTTGCGATGCCTGTCGTACGTATTACATAAGCGCCATATAAACGCATTAGTAAATGCATGCATGCATGTATGTCTGAACTTCCCATGTGTCTGTCTGGCTGACTGTCTGTCGTAAGCTGTCACACATGCATACATACGGAACTCTTAGATCTTATGACAGTTAGGATTTAGGGTGAAGTAGCGGGTCCAATATACCATAGTCTGCTCAAAGTACCAACATATATATATATATATATATATATATGTCGTATAGATACATAACCAATTATAAATATACACAGGCGTGTATATATATATAGAGAGAGAGAGAGAGAGAGTATTGTACCGGGGATGCCGCATTAGCTTGGGACCATCCAGGTCGTCCATGACGGGCACGTGAAACTTTTGGTAGATCCTGCGGGTTTAGCGTTCGGTAAATCCTGCGAAATCATGTCTACATATTACCCCTAAACCTTAAATCGAAACCCTAAACCATTACTCGTCAGGCAACAACGGTTTCCACAGTTGGCGTTTGGATTCGCACATGGCACGCCCGGGAAAGCCTCAAGGTTGACTTGGTGGAAGGTTGGGGCTGTAGCTGTGCACATCATGTGGAGATAGCGCGCCCAAGTCATGCGCACCATAGACAAAGGAATACTTCGGACACGACCGACAAACACTGACCTACTCACAGTCCCCAAGCCCTAAACACAGTCACACTCTCCTCCTTGCTTTCTTGAAACGCAAACCCGCTCCACCGACTCGCCCTAGACCGACACTCTTCTTCCTGCCTTCTTGAAACACAAGCCCTACCCCTAAACCCTAAACCCTAAACCCCTACACCCCTACACCCCTAAAACCCTACCCCTAAACCCCAAAGCCCCGACACCGCCTGTCCTGGGATAAACCTCATGAGCCAGCAGCTGTACCAGCTGGGCCTGCCGCACTCGAGATATACAGTACATTGTAGTATGTCCGTATAATGGAGTACATTTAGTATGCTGTAGTATGCTATCACAGAATAGTATATTGTATTCTGCGTGCTTGCGAGAGTCTGATTCTATCCCTCCTTATTGCTTCTGGCATCGTTGCCTTTGCTCTTGGTATCAATCGCAGTTCACGAACCTGCAAGCTCCAAACACCCCAAAGTCCTACCGCTCATGACACCTGGAACTTCATCTCTCGTTCCGCCTGTCTTTGGCATATATATATATATATGTATATATATATATATGTGCATATTGGCACATCAATCTGATTTCGAGTTTTGGGAGGAGGATGCCTTGATCACATTGGAACATGTATTCGAGATCCTCAGGTCTGGGGTTTTTGGACTCTGGATGATACCCAATCACGCTTCCACTGGACTCTATGACTTCCTTGCAAAGCTTCCGATTTCATGGGTTCTGCTCATGGACCCTCAACATCCCTCAACCCTATGATACAGGGGCCTTAGCAATCAGAATAGGGTTTTGGGGCCCGTGATACTATAAGTATCATAAGGAAACCCCAAAATAGTATACTGTAGGTACTTATTGCGGCCCCTATTCTATCAGTTACACTAAACGGGCAGCTTGCGAAAGCGCTAAGGAACCTGAAGTTGTCATAGAAAGCCAAGCTCCAGGCCCGGTAATCGTGCCCAGTGCCCTTTGCTGTTGACTCGAAGTCATCCAGGCGCTTTTGGTTCTCCGGGTTCCGGAAGAAAGACCTAGCACAACAACTTCTGCGACAGTGGCCGCAGAGCTATCCTTGTACGACTTCGACAGAGACTAACTAACCACAGCATTAGTTGTTTCTGTCCTTCGTACTGTAGCAGCAATGGTAGCAGAAGCAGCATCAGTCGCCGTAGTCCCGAACTAGTAGCCTTCGTTGCAGAGGAGTAGGAGTAGAAGTACGAGAGCAGTGGCAGTAATGGTAGTCGTCGTCGTTGTCAGTCGGCGACATCATAGTTGTAGTCACGATAGCAGTAGTAGTAGCAGTAGTAGTAGTAGTAGTTGTAGTAGTAGTTGTAGTAATAGGAGTAAGAGTAAGGGTAGGAGTAGGACTAGGAGTAGGAGGCGGAGAAGCAGGAGCAGGAGGAGGAGCAGGAGGAGGAGGAGGAGGAGGAGGAGGACTAGGGGTAGGAGCAGGAGTAGGAGTAGGAGTAGCAGCAGCAGTAGCCGTAACAGTAGCAGCTCAGTAGCAGTAGCAGTAGCACTAGCACTAGCGTCACTAGCAGTAGCAGCAGCGCAGTGGCATTGAGAAGCAGCAGCAGGAGCAGCATTGCATGTCTTGGGCTCACCCTTTTGAAGCGGTACAAGATTTCCTCACCACGGACATTAGCAACAATACTCACGGCCCGAAACATGCACTGTTGACGCATTTCACTGGCTATAAGACTCATTGGTGTATGTGCATTCTGACGGCTGACGAAGCCGACACGGCCCAAAAAAAAAGAACACATGTAGAGTGCTCGTGGAACGAAGGGCTGGCTGTAGGCCTGCTATCATTACGACAAAATCACTAACCGACTTTCAGCACATGACATGCCTTGCAACTGGGACGAAACATGTCCAGGCCGCCGCATGAAGCGCAACACGATGGCGCACTGCTTGTTTGTGAAGCGCCTCAGATATCCCGCTGGAGCATGACGGGATTGAAAAGGGAGCCAGGGTATATCTACGATATGAATGTGAAGTGTTGTGTTGTTGCGGCTGCACCCATCCACAACCCGAGCAGTTTATGAAAGCATCCGTTGCAAATCATCGGCTGCTTTGGTCTGCGACTCGCCCATGAGGAATCAACTAGGAATCATGTCGGGGCCAAGGCAAAGAAGCGTCTGAGGGCAAAACCGACTCGGAACTCTAGCACTTGAGCCGCGCACATGTAGAAACTCCGTGATCCGCGGAAGTCGGACACGATGACTTCATCCGGCACAAGGTCCTCGGCGTGGCGGTTCGGCACGAGCTTGGGGCTTGAGGTGCCGTAGGCTATAGGTACGATCTGGGATATCCCTCGTCATTCTCAAATCGAAAGACCAGTCTGTGTCAACAGACTGGTCGTAACCAAAGGAGTCCAGAGCCGCCTTATGTTTCAGTCCTCAACAACGTCAAAAGCCCCCAAACGCAAACGGTGAACCCCCAAGCCCTCAAAGAAAACTCTTGGATCAAGCACAAACCATAACATGCACAAGAGTTTACGTACCTACCACAACACAGTGGTACCGCTGAAAAGTGATAAGGCTGCTATAGTCTTCAAAAAGCCCGAGCCCCTAGCCCCAAACGACAGCTTGCAGAACCCTGCTGGTAGCACTTACAGCAGCCCTATTCCATCAGCCCTAGCCGTATCCCTTATGACCCACAAATCCTGTAGACCCACTCGCTCTTCAGTGAGGGTCTGGCTGTCTCTTGCAGAGCCTGGATGTCCCGGCCCTCCCGTTGGCAGAGTACTCGGGCCTGCTTACGCGTGCAGTGGCTTTCAATGACGGCTTAGGGTTGAGGGTTTGAGGGATTTAAGGGCCAAGGCGGTTAAGGGTTTAGGGGTTTAGGGTTTGGGAAGGGCTTATGAGGACTTTAGAGCTCAGGGTTCAGGTTTAGGGCTTATAAGGGGCAAAAGTGGCTAAAGTTGGAGATGATTTCAAGCATTGTTCAGGCTTTGAAGCTTTGAAGGTTAGGGAGCTGGGGCATCCGGGTCTTCTCAGCTGGCTAGTAGGCAGGATCTTGCTGCACAAAATCAAGCCGAAGCAAGTTTGCCCGCAAGCTGATCGCATGAGACGAAGCTGAGTTTCACTAGCAAAGAAGCTGCGTAAGAAGGACCGTCATCTTAAGATCTACGACATCTCCCACAAGTCACTGCTAGGTCATAGCTTCCCGATGCATGCAAGATCACGAGCCTCCGCAGGAAGGTGCCGTCCCAGAACCCATCTCAGGTCCACCACGGTGGCGCCTTTCCTGGGCTCTTCGCATGGATGCAAGCAGCTGCAAATCGTGGTGGTTTGAGTTGACTTCGTGCATGGTGTAAAGCTTCGTGATGCAACCCAACTTGGCGCAGCGTTCCCGAAACCGTCATCCATCGTGTCATGAGGGGGCGAAAATCAAAGTCCACCAAGCGGCCGAAGCCAAACACCGAAGGATTGCTTTGCGGCGAAGAACTTCTTCACGGTCGAGCTCTGGCAGGTCACGCCTCTGCAAAGCTCACTTGCTGACAGCAGAAACGGACAGGCCCTTTTCGACGGCTGTTCTTGTCATTATTTCCAAGCACCTCCTTCAACATTGGGAGAAGTATGGCCAATGTCTTACAGCAACAGAAGGCTGCCGGAGAAGCGGGTGGAGCTGGCTGCGGAACTAAGCTTGTGATCACTTCTATTATCATCCCCTGCGGTTATTTTTCCCTGACTTCAGGGAAACATAAGCAAAGGGACAGGCTTCAATCACGACTTTGCACCAGCATTTAGTTTCGGGTCAAGGTTGCAATTGGACTGAACCGACTACGAGCGTGTTCAGTCTTGCAGTCCTTGGTTTCCTCATATCAGGAGGCTCCTATGAGGATTATGCAGGCCGCTCCAAATGTGGTTGTTGTTTTGGATGATACCGCTGATCCGGATGATGACGACGATAATGATGGTGCGTCGCTTCTGATGCTGATGACTATGACGTGAAGTACAGTGCCAAAAGTGAAGCGCTCGCACTCCTCAGGATTCCGCGGGTCACGAAGGACAGCTTGCTTTCCTGCCGGGAAATTTTCTACAGGGCTTCGCGTACCTACATCTCCACGGGTAAAAGGAGGGACCCTTAATAAGGAACATACCCTTGATATAGCTATTATACACCATTATATAGCCCATCATAGGGTAGGGGTTCCCATTAAGGGTCCCCCCTGCCTCGTAGTGATTGTAGAGCTTCAGGCTTCAGATGGTATTTTGGGGGCTTGATTCTTCTATAGGACATAAACACAGCAAAACATATGGGGCAGTTGGGGTTTCTTGCTGCGGCTGGAAAAGGAAGTTGCAATAGAACTTGCGCAGCATGGTATAAGACTATAAGATACTAGGGGTGGGCAGCCACGGAGCTACCAGGGTGCCAATGTGTCGCACCTCGACTTTCTTTTGGGGGCCCTCGAGTTTTGGTGGAGACTCTGGCAACGGCACTCTGCGACACCAAACCTCAAACCTGCTCCCTGCCATGGATACACATATCATATTACGACCCGGACGAACCCAAGCCTCTTCAAATCTTATGCTTCCTTGTACAGACGTTATATAAGAATACCCAAAAGCCCTACGAGATCCTTCTTCCGGCCCCAGCTCCACTTCACGACTGGGCCTCCTCGGCAGCCTCACAGGCCTCCTTGTCGTCGTCCTCCCAGGTCTCCTCCGCAAGAGCGGAATAGAGGGAACTCCAGAAAGTTGGAATATGGATTATTGGTAGGATCCCCTATAATTTACCATAAAGGGTTTAGGATCATCATATTCCAACTTTCTGGCTTCTACTGTAGAGGGATCTGAATGACCAGCCTAGGGTTTTGGGGGGGGCTCGTTGTCGTATGACAATAGAAGGACCAGAAAGGGATGTTCTAACTGATACTTCGCCCCGTATGGTAACCTTGGTAGAACCGTGAATACCATCGGACACTGCAAGCATGTATGGCAATGGAATGGAGTCCACGCCAACATCGAGACGATGAAACAGCAAAGTCACAGTCCTCAAGTGTTGCTGGATGAGAGACTCTGGATGGTTGCAGGGAGAAGTTTCACGGCAAGAAATAGCTCGTTGCTACAGCCAGGACCGCATGACGAATGGTGAACCATTTTCACATTCATGAACGGCTATGCTGTATGCAAGCTGACAATCCTCTCCCACTTTGTAGCCCGCTGCAGCGGCAGCATCTGGAGAAAGAACCTGAGGCACTGCACTGATGTCAGTGGTCTTACAAAAAAAAACTGCCTAGAGGAACACAATGTAGGGGCCTGAATAATTAGAACAGGGTTTTGGTGGTTTCCCTATTGGGGTTATAGTATAGTATGAGATACCCCCAGACCCCGTTCTAACTATTGAGGCCCATACATTAGAGGAATGCACCTCAGCAAATGGCTTTGTCATCTTCCGTTTCCGTGGGAGCAGTGGTCTGTCGACGGTGGAATAACCACAACTTCAGCTGCTGGTGCTCCTGCTCCTACGATAACTCTTCTCCAACACTCCTCTACTCGTACTTCTACTTCTGCTGTAAATCTACTCCTCCTCCTCCTCCTCCTCCTACTCATACTCCTACGACAGCAACAACCACTACTACGTAGCTACTGCGACGACGACGACTGCAACGATTACTACCACCATCTGCCACCACCACTACCGCCTGAGGCTCCGGCCCAGACTTCGCTGGTTCGTGGCCCGAGGCGTGCTGCACCTGGCAGGGGTTTGCAACGCTTTGGGCGTGAAAGTGTCTGTCAGAGCCGCAGGTCCCATGGGGTGTTGGGTTCCACTTGAGCCGGTGAGGGCTTCGGCTTTAGGTGCTGCTGAGGTCTTGAAGGTCATGAGAGCCAAGAGCTGCAGGGCGGGGGTCGGCTGCTGAAGCAACGCAGCAGTTCTCCGGACAAGTCTGGGTGGTAAGCCAGCACCTGAACCAAGAAGCTTCGACTACTCTGACTACTTGCGATGCCCATTTAATTATTCACATTCACTCTTCGCAGCTTCTGGAACTTTCAATGCGTGCCTAAGTACATGGACTGATCGTGTAAAAGCCCACTGTTAAAGCCTTTGCTACGACACAGCGAACCGCAAGAAAACAGAACACAGCTCCGCGGCTGAACAGTACTCCATTGTCCCCCTGAAGCCCCAGACTCATGATATGGGGGCCTTAAGAATTTCAATAGGGTTTTGGGGCCTCTTATGCTATCATTATAACAAGGAATCCCCAAAAATTGTATAATAGTAGAAGTAACTATTATTTCAGCCCCCTACATTACAAGGGTTGGCCTCGAACAGGCGCTTGTGCCGCCTGCATGCACGCTCAGGTCTCATTTTCAATTGTCCGCTCGTGTCGTCTCTTGCTGTTTTGGTCCTGCTTCAGACAGCATCAACCGTCGCCAAGTTCGCAGGAATGAACACCTATTCAGCCTGTTGACCCTATTGATAAAACAACGGGTACTTTCTTGAGCTCACGCCCAACAGGGCACGACAGCGAACGAGGGGGGGATCCCCATCCTTGTACACGACCACCACGACGACCACTACTTCTGCTACTGCTGAGGCAGCTACACCCTCCTGCTGCCACTACCACTGCGCAGGACTGGATGCACCGGTTCTTACCTGGGGCTCATGTGCTCATGTGCACAAGTTTCCATCTGGGTCTTGGGACACAGGCTGCCGAAGCACAGACTGAAGCGAAACGTTTGAGCATGGTTCTGCCAAGCACAGCCCAACGTCGCAATGACGATCTAAACATTATCGCCGAGCTTCAACCCGGCAGTCACAAGCATGTCATACGCAACCATGTGATTGAACTCACGCTGCAGCAAAACGAAAAGCCACATGCACACGATGCCTTCAGGAGCTTGCACCACTGTTGCCCAGACTTTGTGTCCGGGCGGAGGTTTTCCTGACATGTTCTCTGTGAGTGTGATGGATACCGAAAAACAGCAGCCATGTTGTGGGAGCTTCACATAATGTGGGGTCCTGTTGTAACAGTCGAGCCTGAGTCATCAAACCCAGAGCCCTGCACTCATCGTGCACTTTCTGATGTTGGCACCCTGCAAGGGTCACCCCAACTCTCCATGCCGTGAACCTCCCTCCATCCCTCCTGCCCAGTCCCATGTTTTCAATCTTCTGCATCTGGGAACCAGCGATGTAACTGGCCAACTAGCTCGTGAAATTGAACCCTAACCCCTAAACCCTAAACCCCTACACCCCTAAACCCTAAACCCCTAAACCGTGAACCCATCAATTAGTGAACCCCTAAGCTGCCCTCCTCTCGAATCCTTTCGTTATGGACTAGCAAGACATGAGACTAACACGGTTTAGGGTTTAGGGTTTAGGGTTTACTCCCCGAAACATACCCCAAACCCTGAACCCTACCCCAAAACCGAAAGCACTACACCAGAAACCCCACACCCCAAACCCCAAACTTCCGAATTCCAGCCGGCCTCGGCACCCGGAAGCTCTGCTAGGAAGGCGATACCCAACACGTTCGCTGCCACCTGAAGAGCTGCATGGATCTCGGGTTTATGGGGTTTAGGGAAGTTTCGGGCTCTTGAGGGGTTTAGATGGGTTTAGGGTTTGCAGGTAAAACCTGTCTGCTTCGTCTCTTGCAGGACTCAGCAGTGCGAGAGCGTGATAACGCAGCTTTGTGAATCTAGGTGACGCGAAAAGCGTGCCATCAGGAGTCCCTCTTTAGCTCTGTTAACCCGAGCCATCGTTAACTCCTTACGGCGATACCGACACGTGTAGCAGCTTGGGCAGAAGCATCCTTCGGACCGTGCAAGTGCCTCAACCACTTGCATGGTAGCGGAGCCTACGGGCTCTAGTTGAGATCCAGGGAACAGTGAACATCAGACGCCGGGGCCTCTGATGACTACGAGTGGAGGAGACAATGCGCGATCCAAGGATTGGATCCCCCAGTGGGATGGAAGTGCAGCGACCTTCCAGCAGTATGAGGAGGAAGCCCTCCTCTGGCAAGAGGGGATCGACTACTACAAGCGCTACACCGCCGGACCACGACTTGTAGCAGCCCTTCAAGGAGCAGCGCGCCGTATGGTGGTAGGACGGCCAGTGGGATGGGTGTCCTTTCCAGGTGGTGTTGAAGTGCTACTTCAATTTCTTCGAGATTGCCTAGGCCGACCGCAGGTGTCGGAGATGACTGACTATTTGAGTCAGTACTTCCGACATTCTCGAAGAAAACATGGCGAATCCATCAACGACTACATCACCCGGAAGAGCGAGATCTACACCCGAGCGCAGCAAGCGCTCAGCCGTGTCCGCCCTCATCACGAACCTCGAACGGTTTCTTACAACACAGGGCGCGGCCAACCACACTACGCCAGGAGGAGCAGTTGGTCGTCGGAAACAACTACCACAGCAGGCGAGGCGGCCGAGGATGATGATCAAGAGACAACGGAAGGGGCCGCGACCAACGATCAGCAGTGGAGCCAACCCGAGCAGAGGTCCTGGCAACAGGACAATTGGAACTGGAGCTGGAACGGTTCTTGGGGCCAATCGTGGTGGCCAGCTTCTCAGTGGACTGAGGGGCGATGGTCAGGGAACCAACACCAGTGGCGCCCTGAGCCAAGCTCGGCTCATGTTGAGCTCCTGCCAGATTGGGTCCAAGGCTGGTACCTGCTACAGGACGCGAATCTGACCACTTCCGAAAGAAACATGGTGCACACAGCGCTCAAGGGCAACTTTGGGCTCCAGCGTGTAGCCCAGGAGCTACGCAACCAGTGGGCAGATACCGACCTGAAGCGACGGGACCAGCAACACAGGTCTTCGGGCTTCCTTGGCGAGGCCGAGCTCGACGAGGATGAGAACGAGGCCTGGGCCGTGGAGGAGCAGGACGACGATGTGGACTTGAATGAAGAGGGCCAGGCGCTAGTGGCGGAGGCGACAGCAGAGGCTCGCCAAGCGCTGGCAGCGATACAAGGTGCCCGCCGAACGCTCAAGGAAGCACGTCACAAACAACATCAAGTTCGTCTATCCAGAAAGTACTATCAAAGTGGTCCCCGACCTCAGGGTGCCAGCAGCTCCAGCCGTGACGACTCGAAGATGACATGTATGGGATGTGGCAAAGTAGGCCACCGTGTGGCTAACTGCCCCCAGCAGAAGGCACAGCTCGTGGACAATGAAGCAGCCCCCTTCGTATGTTACGCGGAACAAGCTCTGGCAGGAGACTTTGAGGCGGAGCCGTCGGAGAAAGTGCTCACCACCGCGGAGGCGGTGGCCGAGGGCTTCGGTGTGATTGATGGTGGAGCAACAAAGACACTCGGATCTGTGAGGGCTCTGGAATCAATCATGCGAAAGAACTTGGAGAAGCGAGGGGACAGCGGCCTACGTGAGGTGGATCCAAACAATCGGCCTACGTTTGGATTCGCTGATAGCGGAGAAGCTCAGTGCGTGTCAACAGTGGCACTGGGACTTCAGGCCTCGGGACAGGATGGCAAGCTCCAGGTGCATGCCTTGAACAAAGGCACCGGACCAGTTTTGGTCTCAGTGGCGACCTTGCGGAAGCTTGAAGCGATCATCGACTTCCGCAGCGATCTGATGGTACTACGAGCCTTGGATCCAACCAAGGTGATCAAACTGGAGAGGTCGGCTACGGGACATCAGTTAGTGAACCTGACTGAAGATTTGTTTAAAGGCGCAACGGCGGCTAAGACCGCGGTGCCGTCGCTGGAATCCTACTTGGAGTAGGGACAGCACCTCTTGTGGACCAAACCGGATGGGAAACGAGAGGACCAGTGTTTTTCCGGTAGGGGAGATCTTGAAGCCTCCGTACAGCCTTCTAGTGGGGAAACTGAGAGGGTTGGGGAGACTTCTAGAGATAGGGGTAAGCGAGTTTCTTTTTCCATTCCTGAAGAGAGTGTAGATGTGCAGCATGAGTGTGAGCCATACGCGTGGTCGACTCAGCCACCTCCTCAGTCGAGTCCTTCATCCCCGCAGCTTCCATTGCCCCCTGAACACCATGGGCAAGATCGACCGCATGACCAAGCCCCAGCTGCGCGAGGCCATCGAGACCTTCGGGGAGTACCCAGCGGAGTCTTGGACAGTGGCCGAACTACGCCATCGTCTCACAGAGCTTGTGGAGGAGGACTCCGACACGTGGGCCCAGGCGACAGCGGACAACAAGACACCGCTGCAGCAGGCGATCCAGAAGCTCAACAAGTACAAGCAGCGCAAGGCTACGCTGCAGGACTACGTCGAGAATGTGTTGAATCTGGAAGTGGGGCCCAACGAGACGATGAGCCAGATCGAGCAGAAGGCCATGAACCACCTCTACCTTTCGACGGAGAGCAGCGGCCGCGACATCGTCGGTTTCGGCCGGCATGCTGCCCTCACCTATGCGGAGGTGCTCCAGACCTACCCTCAGTACGCCGAGTGGGTGCGGCAGACCCACATGGAGACCGACGAAACGAATCCTCGCCTGAAGAGGTTTGCCATGTGGTTGCTCAAGGTTCTCGATGTGATGAAGCCTGTGGGATCAACACAGAAAGGAGCGGTATACCAACGACCAGTCCTCAAAGTCAAAAGCGGCTACCTCTACGAGCCGGAGCCGGAGACCGCGCGGGCAGCCCCCAAGGCCATGAACCGAGCGGCCTCCTCGACGGATACCCCCATTCCGACACAGCAGATGGAGGTGATGCAGACTATGATGGAAGCCCTGCAGCAAATGCAGAGCGAGATTCGAGAGCTACGCGAGCTACAGACCCCGAGCGAGGAGAGGCCACGCAAGAAGGAGAAGTAGATTCACGAGGGCGTGGTGGCGATCCTAATCTGAGAGGGCATCGTGACCTAGATCCGGACCAGGCCTCAGCACCTAGTCAGCCCCTTAGTCAAGAAGAAGCCCGACACTTAGAACAACAGTCCTACAGTGTGGTTCCCGAGTTGTTTCAGCAGCTAGTGGCCTCAGACGGAAGTGGCGGGTCACGACCCGTTCTCATGGAGGTTGCATGTGAACCGGACAGCTTGATTACTAAAGCGGTCCAGGACCGCATGGGAGATGCTCAGGCAGCCAGTCGATGTGCACTTTGGAACGCTGGGGACTTGAGTACTTCAGAGGGTCTCCAGTATGTGTTGGATAGAATTCGAGTTGAACGACCCCAACATGTCTGGGTGTCACCCCCATGCGGCCCGTTCTCACAGATGCAAAGTATGAACCAGCGTACCGAGCAACAGCAACAAGAACTCAGTGCGAAGCGTAGGGAAGTGATGAAGGTGTATGTTGGCGCATGTTGTGTTTACCATACATGTATGCAGCTCGGCACGCATTGCACCTTGGCTATGTCGGAACGCAGTGATGCATGGCGGCTCCCAATATTTCAGAAGCTTCAGCAGAAGTACGGTTTGAGAAGTGTTGTTGTGAAAGGTTGCCGGGTTCAGCTTCGTGATTCAGTGAGTAACAAGTTGTTACAGAAGGGATGGCAGATGCTGACTAGCCACGCTAGGCTTGCAGAGCAGTTGGAGTTACCATGTCGCTGTGGGCGACAGTATCAACATGCCAGATGTGAGGGCAGGACTGCCAATGGCCGCAAGAGTTACACGCAGGACTTTGCACGACGAGCGGCTGAAATTGTTTGTCAGGAGTTGAGCTACCAAGCCGTGTTGAGAGAGTGTGAGGGAGCGAGTCAACTTCCGGAGGGCTTCGGAGAGGGTGAGCTGTGTACCTGTGGGGAAAGCAAGATTCAAGGATTTCAGATGACTTGTTCGAATTGTATTTCAGGAAGAGAGTTCGTGGAAGAGATTGGCAAAGAGGCTAGGGAGAGAACTGAGAAAGAGCAAGGCATGTATACCCAACAAGAGCACGAACAAGTGGAGGAGCTGGCGAGCAAGCTGTATCAGAACAAACAGTACAAAACTCATGAAGCCGAAAGCCTCCTGGAACATGTGAGCCGGATGAACCATGGGGCCCAGCGACGAATGGCAACAAGTGAGGTTTCAGGGTATGCGACCTTTGGCATGTATTCCCATGGTAACCACTACGGCGTGACTAGGAAAACCCACGAACTTCCCAACACGACCCGATATTTCAACGCGTTCCTGAAGCACCACTTACCCAAAGGAAGTCACTGGACCTCGTTCGTGTTGAGTTGCAACGCTAGGCTCCCGATACACCGTGACGTTCACAATGATAGTCAGTACCCCAACCACTTGATGGGAATGGGAACCTACACTGGGGGCGAGCTTTGGTTGGAAGCTCCCCCCGGATATGAGGGTCAAGACAAACTGCTTCAGGAATCGATCGATGGGCGCACCATCGTGGGGCGCAAGATCCCGACGAAGGGACAACATGTGGAGTTCTCTCCCCAGGCGTGGCACGGAACGTGCCATTGGAAAGGGAAGCGATTGGTCATTTCAGCCTACGTAAGTCGAGGGCACTTGTTGGTTCAGGAAGGGCTGAGGGATGAACTTCAGGAGAAGGGTTTTTCGTGCCCCAGGTACCCAGGCAAAGCAGTGGAACAGGGTTTAGCCTTGCAAGGGAAAAGGACCGGGGTATGGAATAGGCCTATGAACAGCAGTCCCAAAATCCAGAACCAACAACAACAGGACGAACGGATTAGAAAGAACCTGTACCTTCTTCATGCAGCTACTGGACATGGTAGTGTTCGTCATCTTGTTGATGCCTTACGACGAAGAGGAGCCTCGAGTAGAGTCTTGGAAATGGCAAAGCAGTTCCAGTGCTCAGTGTGTCAAGAGAAGCGCAAAGTAGGACACAGACACTTAGCCTCTCTTGAACCCCTTCCGCCCCGGTGGAGTACGATTTCGGCCGATGTGGGACATTGGACTCACCCCAGAACTCATGAGAAAGCCCAGTTCATGATAGTGATCGACGAGAATTCCCGCTTCAGAACCGCCCGAATCCTGACTCGTGGTTCTAAACAACAACCTACTGCGGCTGCGTGTTTGGAGTACCTTCAGGAGGGATGGATGCAGTATTTCGGTAGGCCCCACACTTTGAGGCTTGACCCGGCAGGCTCCTTTCGAAGTCAGACGGTTGAAAGCTTCTGTGATAGACATGGGATCTACTTGGAAATCATTCCGGGGGAAGCGCATTGGAAGTTGGGGATTTGCGAGCAAGCGGTTCAGGGAGTTAAGGAGGTGATGGGAAAGCTGTGCGATGATGATCCGAGTTTGGGGATTGAAGAAGTGCTGGCGCTTGCGGTGATGACCTTTAACCAACGTGAATCGGTGCGGGGTTTCTCACCAGTGCAGCATGCTTTAGGCCACAATCCTGACCAAACGGGGCCCATCTTGGATACCATGAACCAGGCCCCAATCCAACAGTTGTGGGAAGACCCACAAGGTGATTTCGAAAGAGCTGCTAGGCTAAGGGCCCAGGCTGAAGGAGCACATTCGTCGTGGGTGGCACAACAACGAATCATTCGGGCTCAAAACTCCAGAGCACAGAACCCACTTGATTATCAACCAGGAGAGCTTGTGTTCTTCTGGCGAGCGCAGGTGGGACAGCAGGGTCGTAGGCAGCCAGGGGATAAACATGGACGTTTTGTGGGACCAGCACGAATACTGGCGACAGAGCGGAAACGCGAACCAGACGGCAGCCTAGTACCAGGGAGCTCAGTTTGGCTTGTGCGGGGAAGGAGCTTGATAAAGTGTTGTCCAGAACAGATTCGCCGAGCATCGGAACGAGAACAACTTGTTGAAACCCTTGTATCTCCGGAACAGCGGACCCCTTGGAGCTTCACGCGAGTTGCATCCGAGATCGGAGGCAATCAGTATCAGGATGTATCCTCCGACAGGCCAACCACTCGAGAGTGGCTTCGAGCACAAGACCCAGGTGAGGAGCAGCAACCTTCGAGACATCGCATCCGCGGGAAGCGACCTGCTCCAGAAGGCGTGGAGATGGATGAGGAAGACGATGAGAATGAGGCCACTCCAGCAACGAGCTCGCGCAGTCCACGAGCACAACGCCAGAAGGGCAGCGGTTTTCAGGCTGCCCAGGCTTGGTGGGCGGAAGTACCGGAACGGCTCTGGGAACCTACTTTATCGGCGTACTGGGCAAGTGATACAGCTGCGGTGGCTGTAGAGATTGATCTACCCCACAACGCACGGGGACTTGAGAAGACGTTGCACAACTTGCCAGCTTTCTTTGTGGGAGCTATGAAGCGCAGGGCGGTGGAAGTCTGCGAGCGAAAACTGACGGAAGAGGACAATGAGAAGTTTCGCGCGGCTAAGACCATTGAGGTTCGCAATTTCATCGCAGCGAAGGCGTTTGAGACGCTACCGGAGGAGATGAAGCCCAGTCGGGACCAGGCCATCAATATGCGATGGATCTTGACGTGGAAGGCGACAGACGATGGAGGCCGTAAGGCCAAAGCGCGAGCGGTTCTACTTGGCTATCAAGACCCGAAGTATGAGCACCGTGCCACTACGGCACCTGTCATGACGCGACAGACACGACAAATGCAATTGCAATTGACAACCATTCATGGATGGACTGTGCAGAAAGGAGACGTATCTGGAGCGTTCTTACAGGGAAGAGAGTATCCAGATCAGCTTTTTTGCGTGCCGTGCAAAGAAATCTGTGAGGCTATGGGAATTCCTGAGAACACCATTACTCGCTTGAAACGTGCCTGCTACGGGCTAGTGGACGCACCACTGGAGTGGTACCGTACAGTGGACACCTATCTCCAAGAGCTGGGACTGGAACGTACATACTCTGATGCCTGTGCCTGGGTGTGGCGGCCTCAAGGAAGGTTGCGCGGCATGATTTCGGGACATGTAGATGACTTCCTGTTCAGCGGCGGCTCTCAGGACAAAGAGTGGCAGTCCATCTTAGAAAAGATCAAACAGCGATTTCAGTGGGGAGATTGGGATACGGACAAATTTGTTCAGTGCGGCGTGCAAGTTGAGCGAACTTCAGAAGGTTTTCTCCTTAGCCAACCAAGGTACATGGAGGGAATACAAGAGATCCCTATCTCTTCCAGTAGAAGAAAGGAGAAGGACACCGCGACAACGGAACGAGAGCGCACACAACTTCGTGCACTACTCGGCGGCCTGTCATGGCACGCCCAACAGGTGGCACCCCACCTGTCTGCTGAAGTGAGTTTGTTACTCTCAGAGGTGCCTGAGAGCACTGTGGAGACAATAGTCAAGGCGAATCTTCTCGCCTATCATGCCAAGGGCCGGAAAGATCACCAGTTGATAATACACAACTTCAGTCCTGAGGAACCTTTGGCTCTCTTCGGTTGGGTCGACGCTGCGAGTCAGAACCGTAGAGATGGAGGGTCAACGCAAGGGATCTTTATAGGGCTTGGACCTACGAGTATGTTGACTGGTGACCTAGGCAAGATCACACCAGTGGCGTGGCACTCAAACCGGATTGATCGGGCTTGCCGATCACCAGGCGCAGCAGAAGCACAGGCCGCCATAAACGGCGAGGATGCACTATACTTTGCACGTTACCAGTGGAGTGAGCTTGTTCATGGTAGACCTGAGGTCCGCGATCCAGATACGGCTGTTGCTAAGGTGACAGGATGCCTGGTTACCGACTCGCGGAATGTGTATGACAAGTTAGAAACTGAGGTGCTTGTCATCAAGGGCGCAGAGAAGAGAACGAATATCGAGCTTCTCTCGCTGAAGGAGGCTCAACGACATCATGGCCTTCTTATGCGATGGGTGCACTCTGAAGCTCAGCTAGCGAATGCGCTCACCAAGCATAACAGCAAGGAGATGGAGTTGTACTACCGGACCCGCCACATGTGGCGGATTGTGGAGGACCCTGAGAGAATGTCGGCTCGCAGACGCAAGCAAGCTGGCATCGAACCTCTTAGTTCGGGAATGGAAAAATCAGGTTGATGGATTCTTAGTTTCTCTCGGGGAGGCGGAGGAACCGGGGCATGCAGGTAAAACCTGTCTGCTTCGTCTCTTGCAGGACTCAGCAGTGCGAGAGCGTGATAACGCAGCTTTGTGAATCTAGGTGACGCGAAAAGCGTGCCATCAGGAGTCCCTCTTTAGCTCTGTTAACCCGAGCCATCGTTAACTCCTTACGGCGATACCGACACGTGTAGCAGCTTGGGCAGAAGCATCCTTCGGACCGTGCAAGTGCCTCAACCACTTGCAGGGTTTAGGGGTCTATGGATCAAAGGGCCTCTGGGGTTTACATGGGCTTAGGGGTCTATGGATCAGGGGACTTGGTTTGAGGCTTTCAGGGTACATATAGGGCATCACGTGCATGACCATGCTTTTGGGTTAACGGTGGCTCGACAGGAAAGTCAACATGTAAACAGGGTTTCCACCTGTTCCCGTCGAAGTATCACACAGTGGATTATTCTGAAAGAAGCTCCGCCGTCCTGCAGCAGCTCTCTGAACAGGAACTTCGTTGTCTTACTGGAGACCGTGAATTCAACAACCAAACCTCCACCCAAATCCTACATCAACAAACCGTAATGGTGTTTGTTTGTGTTCCCCTATGTTCCCGTTCTAGGGACTACGCTCAACAGAGTCAAGTCATCAGCAACCTCTGATCTGGTAGTTTGTCTATGCTACGAGTAGTCAACATCAAGGGCTTAGAGGTGCAGGTTTTGTGCTTACTTAAAGGATCATGGGACTTGGTAAGTTGGTTATAATTGGGGTTATCAGTCCCCTAAGTGGGGTTACCCTAATTATAACCTACTTATAACCTTCCTTACTAAGTCCCATGAGCCTTCAAGTACACTTGAGGAGTATGTCTGCGCATCAGAGCTTGATGCCTCATCTCGCTGCGTGTTGGTGTACGTCCTGGCCACATCGGACGGCTTAGGGTTTAGGGTTTAGGGTTTAGGGACCACCGAGCCAGACAAGAAGAAGGTCACACGAAACGAGAGCTCACGCTCAAGGGCACGACTCGACGACTTCCAGAGGCACTGCAAGTGTAACCATTCGGTGCTGTAAACAAGACGGAAGCGCCCACCGCTGCCACCAAAGGCAACCATAGGAGGAACGCGGTACACCTAACCCATTGCGCAATCCGAAGGGATTAGTGCAATACTGGTCTGAGGGCTTGCCTGCTTGACTCTGCAGCAATACAGGGCTACCGGAGAGCGCTGCCATACTCACGAAGAACACTGTGCACCCTGCAGAGCCTTGTAATCAGCGCAGGGCACGCATATTTGGTCACCCAGGGATGCCAGAAAATCTTTGACCTCGGACGTCTACAACCCTACAAACAAGATTCGCTTTCGCCAGCGTGATGACTGGAACCAGCTGCAATGAGAGCAGTTGTGGTCGCCATCGTTATCTTTGGTAGGAGTGAGGGGCTGTGGTGCTGATGTCTCTTGTCTGGGAACCTTCGTCCATTTAAACTGTCACGTAAAGCCAGTGGCAGACTCGACCTGCGCAAGATCTGAACTACAACATGAGATATCCACCCAAGTCTGCCTGAGCAACGGGCAGTTGCCTTGGGGGGATAGTCCACCTGGTATCTCTTTCCCCCTGGCAAGTAGCATAGGACCTGCCGGGTTCGCAGGATGATGACGATTCTGATGACGACCATGCTCATGACCACCATCATGACCATCATCATCATCATCATCATCATCATCATTCCTCCTCCTCATCATCACAAGCATCATCATCACAATCAGCAACCTCGCAACACTTGTCATGGTCATTGTCTTCATCATCTTCATCTTCATCTTAATCAGCGACTCATCAACATCATCGTGATCGCAGTCATCATTATCTGCAGCAGCATCATCATCACCATTACCATTTTAGCATCTCCATCGTCATCACTGTCAACATCATCAACAGCAGAATCAGTATCACCATTAGCATGGGGTTGATGATGGGTATGACGATGCTGTGTCGGCCCTGGATGGCCCTGGTGATGGTGATGCTGGCTAGCGATGCGACCGCTGACCCACCATGATGACGTGCTCCTTGGCTGTCGTTGCTGCTTGCTGCTGCTGGCGAGGTGGCAGAAACGGAGGACACACTTGATCCCTGTGACGCTTCCTATGTTGAGAGGGGAGATGATGAGCAGCATGATCACATCGATGATGGTGCTTAAGATAGTGAGATAGCAGCAGCAAGAGGAAAGCACAACTACGCAGCATCAGCAGACAGCAGGAGTACCAGTCGCCGTCCTCTTGGTCGACATCGTCGTACTTGTAGCAGCAGCAACCACCAGCAGCAGCAGCAGCAGGAGCCGGAGTAGTAGTAGTAGTAGTAGTAGTAGTAGTAGTAGTAGTAGTAGTAGTAGTAGTAGTAGTAGTAGTAGTAGTAGTAGTAGCAGTCGTGGTGGCAGTAAGTGTAGTAGTAATGGCAGTGGTAGTAGTAGTAGTAGTAGTAGTAGTAGTAGTAGTAGTAGTAGTAGTAATAGTAGTAGTAATAGTAGTAGGAGTAGTAGCAGTAGTAGTAGTAGTAGTAGTAGTAGTAGTAGTAGTAGTAGTAGTAGTAGTAGTAGTACTATAGTAGTAGTAGTAGTAGTAGTAGTGGTGGTAGTAGTAGTAGTAGTAGCAACAGCAGTAGTAGTAGTAGTAGTAGTAGTAGAACTAATAGCGGCAGCAGTAGTGAGTAGTCGTCGTCGTAGTAGTAGTTATCGTAGTAGTGGTAGTGGCAGTGGTAGTGGTAGCTGTAGCGGAAATGGAAGTGGTAGTTAGTGGTAGTGGTAGTCGTAGTAGTACTAGTAGTAGCAGCCGCAGTAGCAGCAGCAGCAGCAGCAGCAGCAGCAGTAGCAGTAGCAGTAGCCGTAGCCGTAGCAGTAGCAGTAACAGTAACAGTAGCAGCAGCAGCAGCAGCAGCAGGAGCAGGAGCAGGAGCAGGAGCAGGAGCAGGAGAAGGAGCAGGAGCAGGAGCAGGAGGAGGAGGAGGGGAGGAGGAGGAGGAGGAGGAGTAGTAGTTAGTAGACTTCGTAGTAGTAGTAGTAGTAGTAGTAGTAGTAGTAGTAGTAGTAGTAGTAGTAGTAGTAGTAGTAGCAGGAGTAGTAGTAGTAGTAGTAGTAGTAGTAGTAGTAGTAGTAGTAGTAGTAGTAGTAGTAGTGTTAGTGGTTGTTGTTGTTGTTGTTGTTGCAGGTGTAGTTTTAGTTGCAGCTCTAGCTGTAGCTGTTGCAGCAGCTGCTGCTGTTGTTGTTCATGTTGTTGTAGACATAGATGCACCTCTAGCAGGTGCGAAGGAGCTCTTGGCAGTTATTGTCGTTGTACGTTCGCATGTGGGCGCTCATTATGGCCTTGACTACTGCTGCTGACAAGCTCGTCAGATAGGTGCGCATCTTCAGCATGCATCTTCTGCATTTTAGAATGCTCATTGCTTTTTTTACTGCTATTGCTGTTGCTGCTGCTAGTTGAACTCTGAACGTGGCTAACTGGCTAGCTAGCTCACAGCAGAATCTCCTCAAGAACCGAGGCAACCCTCGCAGTCCGAAGCCTCAGAAACGCCCAACAAGCATTAAAAATAACAGAAGGTGAAAGATTATGGCGAATTGAGGGGTTATTTCGGGTTTCGGTTTGGGGTTTAGGGCCTTCAAGGGATTTAGGGCCAGGGTCTATTTAGGGCTTATTTCGGGTTAGGCTTCGGGGTTTAGGGCCTTTTTACGGATTTACGACCACTGCCTCGCCTTCCGGTTGTTCCCCGAGCTTCGGCTTCGACCTGACGCAGTAGCATCCGAAAGAGGGGCCATGGACGACCAGAATAAAGACGAGGAGAGTGATGAGATGACTATGGTCATAAGGAAGAAGACAATACTAATCCTCAAGAACTTTAACTCACCATGGTAGAGCTGGAGATGGGGGTGGGGATGATGCTGATGCCCTTGATGGCTAAGTCGTGGATGGCATTGCAGCTGATGATGATTGTGGAGACGATCTGCTACCACTGCTGATGCTTCTGATGGTGATGATGAGCATGACGACGATGGCGATGCAGTTGAGCAGACGATGATCAAACATCAAACCGGGACATACCTCATCGATAGCAACGATGCCGACCTGGTTCTTGTTGACTCTGAAGATTGCATAAAAAAAAAGACAACGCCCGACGATGGTAACGGCGTTGGTAGTGATGATGCAGTTGAGCAGAATACTAGTCAGCAGTGGGGGTGGTCGCATTGAACCGCGGTGATTCATGAAGCTGCTGATGCCGTGGAAGAGTAATGATTCCCTGAGGGCATCCTGATTGAGGATGCAGCAGCTGATCAGCGTTTGTGCAATTAATTCCACTTCACTACTACTGTCGATTGTGGTGACACTGACGGCGAGAATGATGATGCTGCTGAGGACGTGAAGGATGATCATGATAAGCCTGACGAGTGTGATGACGATGATCTCATTTTGTTGCTGCCCGCGGGTACTGATGATTTGAATGTGCATGCTTGTCGGAAACGCATGGAAATGGAAGGGATGCAACACTTGACTAGGACTAGGAGATTCATTATGGTCAACTGACTGCGGCTGCTGCCTCTGCCGATGACAGAGATGATGACTCACGGCGATGCTCACGAACATTGCGACGGCAAAAATGGTCAACGCACCAGCGTGCTATAGTGACTGACAGTGATGAAGATGACAGCGATGTTGTGGTTGCTGGTGACAGGGTGATGCTTGCCGTCACGATGTTGATGGTGCTGATGGTGATGATGCGGAGGAGCAGGCGGAACGCAAACCCCACCAACAAGATTAGCTGATACATCCTGATTTAAAGAGGGACCTCACCAAGAAATCACCCGAAACTCTTCAAGAACATACAAACAGCATGGTTCACGCGCAGGCAAAAATTGTACAGACCCTACCAGAACAGGCAGCCTGCGCTCTTGGACAAAGCCTTGCCGGCAGGCCCTGGCAGCACAAGTTCCGCTGCTCTTCTGCTCATGGGATTCAGCATCGGGCCTGAGCACTACATGATTTGTCGGCGGTTAGCTTAAAAGCCACGGGGGAGAAGTGTGGGCTGCAAAGACGGCAGGAAGATGAGCCTGGGTACCTGCATGCGTCGGATCGCGAGAGCAGTTTGCCTTACGATGTGCCGGGTCACTGTGTGCTACCTCCAGGGAGGCATACAGGATACCGAACCGTCCTTTCATCAGTCGGCAACCACAAGCTCCAACTGCCTCTTGACATGAAAAAGGTTGCTACTGCCATTTCGTGATTCTGAAAGCTCAATGACGACAGAGCTACATGTTAGCTGCTGCGATTGCAGAAACTACAAAAGGAGCCCGTCTTATCGCTACATGACCTGTGCAGTCGAGTCAAGTCTATTTGCATTCGCAAGCTGTAGTTAGCTGGGAGCAAAAGGCCCCGGAAGCAGGAACCACCAGCTTTTGATCATGCCGATGAGGATCAGGTCTTGTGTTTTCGAGTTCTCTCTCGGCATGTGTATAGGCTTCTACAATCCAATTGGTCCTGTCAATATTCCAATATTCTCACTCCGATACAACCGTCGTACCTGCAAAACTGCCACAACAACTACAATGCAACACGACCACCACCACTCCGACGGCTGCTACTGTTCCAATGCTGGTACCAATACTCGTTATATTACAGGTACTGGTATTGATGCTGGTAACGGAACCGAGTACCAGCACCAGCACTAGACCACAACGACGATGACGACGACTACTCGTACCGCTACGACTACTCCTCCGCCTGCTGCTGCTGCTGCTGCTGCTGCACGACAACCCCCCGTCCTGTTCTGCTACGAGTCCTTCTTTTCACGGCCAGCCCCAGGCGTTCGAGGCTAAGCCCCAGACTTGATCGAGAGTTTCTGTCTGTTTCTGCGTCCCCTGGGCTTTCAGGAACCCAGCCCGAACTCCTCAGATCACCAGGAAGCCCAGATCCCCGAAAGCATATATACGGGCCTGAGGCATGCATCCAGGCATTTAGCTCCATGACGTCCAGGTCCTGGCAACGCCCCAAGCTTTGTAGATTCGGCTTCTGCCCCAGTGTCAGAGTCAAAGCAACAGGAATTTCCGAAAATAGGGGACCCTACTATGGTACCCTAAACAGTGGGATCCTTATTATAAGGATCCCCCAAATACGGTACCCCTATTTTCGGAAACTCCCATTTCTGGCACCTTGGAACCGCAACCCTGGTCGCAATTAAGCCGAGAGATTGCGCAGTGAGGGCGGGCTACACAGGGCAAACCGCAACTGCTCAATCTTCGAGATGCACAGGAGTGCGAAATCTACAGCACAACGAAACCCACACCAAAACTGAGAACCCGAGACACGAAGCAGAAACCTAAACCCTAAACCCCTAAACCCCTATAAAACCCTAAACCCCTATAAACCCTAAACCCCTATAAACCCTATAAACCCTGGCTGTCTGAGGCGCTGACCATCGCCTCAGTGTCGGGCACCTGCACAAACTCTCGTGCTGTTGGGATCGGATTGCTAGGTCCGGAACCGTTAGGGTTTAGGGTTTAGGGTTTAGGGTTTAAGGTTTAGGGTTTAGGGTTTAGGGTTTAGGATTGAACCCCAAACATCAGGCAAAACAATGGCTCCGCGCAAAAAAGCGAGTGTTGAACATAATCTTGTGGCCCAGGGTAGACCCCTTATTTCGGGTTTGGGGCTTACTAACCCTTAACTTACGGGTTGAGGGTTATGCTGAGCAGGGCTTAGGGTTATGAATTCAGTTTAAGCTTTGGGGGGCTGTTAACCCTTAACTAGCTTACTGGAAGGGTTTAGGGCTATCACTAATTATTACTGAGTAGGCCTTAGCTTTCGGCTTTGGGGTAATGAACCCTGACTTAGGGGTTTAGGGCTAAGGTTTCGGCTTGGGGGATTCAGGCTTTCGGGTTTGTATGAGGATGCGGTCCCGGGACACCGCCCCACGATGCTCCAACAAGGCCTCGTACTTTCGAGGTTTGGCTTTAACCAAGTTCATCGAGCATGGATTTGTGGTAGGAGTTTTGAGCTTACCGGGTTGGCTGCAGAGCGCAAGGTTTCGAAGCTTAGAGGCTTTAAGCCGTTTAGGCGGCTTGGTCTTTATGGATGGACTGCTGAGAAAGCGCGCCTCACGAAGTGGAATGGAGTTGGATGTGTTGCCTGCCGGGCTGAAAGTTAAGAAGCAGCGCTGTTGTGCACCGTCAGCTGCCATGTGCAGATACACTACTATAATAATACGACTATAATACTTACTAGAATTAATAGTACTATGACAGTACTATAAAAATACTTAATACTTACTATAATTAGTAGTACTATGACAATACTATAAAAATACGACTACATAGAATAATAGTAATTATAACAATAACAATAATACGATGATAATGCTTACTATAAAAAAAAGATATACTGTGACAGTACTATACAAATACTATTATAGTACATGTGCCTCGGGAGGTTGAACAAAACAAGAGCGGCAGTGAAAGCGGAGCCTCCATGCTGCACGTGTAGGCACATGCCGAAGTCGTCCGGGACGAGGTGCACGCTTCGTTCACCTGGAAGCATCCCAAAGGGTCCAAGTACCATTATAGTATATAGGTACTTAATACCCTAAAGTATATACTACTGTATGTGGTTACCTGGACCCCTTGGGCATACTAAAGGGGCCAAAAAGATTGGAATGGGGTTCCTTTTAAAGGGATCCTTTAAACGGTTCTATAAGGGATCTATAGTTGGGCTCTATACTATGAGGGACTTGGTAATTAGAAAAGGGTTGTGGGGGATCGTAATATAATTAAACAAGGACCCCCCTCCAAAAAAAATAAACAACAATTAATTGTTTAGGCCCCTATAATACCCCGAATCGTCCTGGGCTGTCGATACATCTTTCGGGCAGATCCGGTCGAGAATGTCACCCAGGCGAAATTCAGAGGCTGTCGACTGGCATAGGACCCTGCGATCAGGCATAGGCCTCTCCGGATTTGCAGCTGCATCATGAAGTTGAAGTCCTGTGCCGGTGGTCAACAAACCCTGGCTAGATCCTCGTTGTTGTTGTTGATGGTGAGGCGTGATGTTCACTCTGGTTACGATGACAACCATGCATCTTGAGTGGCTGTGATAGGTGGTAGTAGCAGTCGTGGTAGTCGTCGCCGCGGTCGTAGTAGTGGCGGCACTGGCAGTAGCAGTGGCACAGGTACTGGTACTAACAGTAGCAGTACTATTACTAGTCCGAGCACAGTATTGAGATAAAGATGTGTATGGAGCGCACGACAAGTATGTTCAGTGTGACGATGATACAGAAGATAACGATGATGAGAATGACGGTGGCGATTGGATGATGCTAATAGCCATGCTGGTAATGATGAACAGAACAGCCATCGAAACGACAATACGGAGCCTTGCGCCGCGGCAAGCCATGAATCAAGTCCGATATCAACTGCACCAGGAAACAAACATTCAGCGGAGTTCGTAGCGGGCAATGAATGACGCTGGTGTTGATATACAACGGTTGTGGCCGTCGCAGCAGGCAGAAACAGCCTACATGATTCTCTGTGCGTGTGGCTCCAGATTCGAGCCGTGTCAAGCAGATCGATAGTGGGAGGCAGTCGCGAAAGAGGCTAAACCCTGAACCCTAAACCCTAAACCCTTAACCGCGTCCTCTCCAAGGTTGATGTCATTGTACCACCTCAGAGCGGGAGCCAAGGCTCAAAGGGGAAAAGGAGGGACCCTTCATGGGGACCCCTACCCTACAATGGGCTATATAATGGGTATATAATAGCTATATTAAGGGTATATACCTAGGGGTCCTTATTAAGGGTCCCTCCTTGGAAAGGCTTCCAACTCAACATCCGAAGCATATGACGACGAGTCTCAATCCGTGCCCTTTTTGGATTCGGGCAGGCGGGGTCACGCATGAAGAACTGTCGTACTCCGGAAGTCCGGGACTTTCATGCCAGCGAACCTCGATATAGGCCAGAGACTCCTGTGAATCACTTTTGGACAGATGCGCCGGCAACTGGCACCTGACCTCTGGAGCAATCCAAAACCAGCATGGATGACGAAATAAGCATCCCATGTGGATATGCAAAACTGTACCAATACGAACACTATTACTATTGCTAGATTCGGTAGAAGCAGCATCATCATCAGGAAAGAAACAAAAGCATCGTCGCCAGCGTCATCCTCGTCGCCATCTTGGTCATCACCATCATAAGAACCAGGTGGCCGTGACCATAGCAATCGGTTTAGGGTTTAGGGCCCCTAAAAACCTCCAACCAACCACAAACCACCACCACCTTAATGTTTGGGTCTGTGGTTGAGTGTTTTGGGTTTCCACCACCACCACCACCACCACCTTAAGGTGTGGGTCTATGGTTTAAGGTTTAGGGTTACCACCACCACCACCTCACGGTTTGGGTCTATGGTTTAGGGTTTAGGGTTTCCACCACCACCACCACCACGACCACCATCCTCGTCTCTGGGACTCCGGACAGATCCAGGCCGGCCTGGCAAACTGCCAGAAAACTACAGTAGAAGCCCAAAAGTTGGAAACCCAATAGCCTCAGTCCTTAAGACTAATCTATAGGGAATCCCAGCTCTGTTTAATCAGGTTTCCAACTTTATGGGGTTTACTGTAGGGGAGTGTAATATAGGGGCCTTAGACTAGGGTTCCTTGTGTTAAAAGGGTCTATATTTATAAGGGCTGCTATAATAGGGATCTAGAGCAGGGTTCTATAGTATAGATAGTACTCTAAGTATCGTATATTACCAATTAGTTAGGCCCCGATATTATCTGCCGGGGTGGACTTTGAAGGTTGATAGCCCTGTCGCGTTCAGGGCTTCGCGCGGCCTGCGGTCCTCTCAGCCTTGTTCCAGGCTTCCATGCCCAAAGGGTCCAAAGTACTCTAATGGGGGATTCTTCCCCAAATCATAATAGTAGTTCCTAATATAGGAACCCTACATTCTACCATAAAGGTACTTTGGACCCTTTGGGATGTAATTTCTTTTTCGTGGGTCAAAGCTGCCTTGCAACTTGAGGGTCGGACTAGGTGGGAGTTTTTGAAAAATAGGGGTATCGTATTTTGGGGTCCTGATAATAAGGATCCTTCTATTTCAAAGGGTACTAAATTAGGGGTACTTTATTTTGGGGTCCTTATAATAAGGATCCTTCTATTTAAAGGGTACTAAATTAAGGTGTCCTTATAATAAGGATCCTTCTATTTAAAGGGTACTAAAGTCGGGTCTCCCATTTTCGGGAGCTACTATGTAGCATGGGCCATACTGACAAGTAAGACAGCGAATTGCCCGGGTGCATGCCGCGGTCGCCGAGCCCTCGTTGTTAAGCTGGAGTTCAAGAGTTGTTCGCTGTAACTTTGCCGCATCATGGAGTTGCCTGGATTCCGTTTGCAAGCCAGAACAGAACAAGGGCGGAGGCCTTTCATGCTCGAAGACTTATCTCGAAACTCACTGCAAAGATAACTTCGGGTCAGCTAAGCAAGAACTTGGTAAACCCTAAAGCTGAGGTGATCCGCCTGCCGGCGATAGACGTAGGAGAAGCCGTAGCCATAGGCCCAACTCTTTACCTCGAGCTTTCAGAAAAGGCGAGGCAGGCGTCCGTAGGCTCTTTGGGTTTGGGCTCCCGGTTAGGGTTTTGCAACTGAGGTTTTGGAGATTAGGGTTTAGGGCTTAGAGCTTAGGGGTTAGATGACATCGGCAATGCCGGGAGGCTCAGGAAAGCTGACAGAAGTTGGCATGAACCTTTACAAGTCTTCCAACCCTAAACCCTGAACTCATAACCACGCTGAGCCCTAAACCCTAAACCCATAAGCTAAACCCCCATTCGACAGGCGCCTTGTCAGAGGTCTCATCCAGTCCCTTGGTGAGACCCCAGGCAATGGGATCGCAAAAGGACCAGGCGTCGGTGTCCATGTGGTACACGTACCTGAGCGAAGCGAGAGAAGGCCGGTCTCAGTCTTGCCAGCTCTCCCTCTCCTACTTGCCGGGTACCGTGGGAACTAAAGAACTAAAGGCTAACCTTTTTTGGTTATATAGCGACTATATAGGGACTATACTACCCAAAAAAGGTTAAAGGCTACCTACTCTACTAAAAGGCTCTCACAGTCTCATCAAGCTCTGAAAACTTGAACGCTCCCCAAAAGGGCAGTGCCAAACAAATATGCATCTATACCTTAGAAGGGGCTTCCACCCTGTGACTATAAGGATTATATTAGGGCCCTGTTGTATTCCTATTATACCACTATTACAGGGTGGGGGCCCCTTCTAATCTCTACACGGGAACGAAAAAAAGCGCATCAGAGTGGCCAGTTGGAGAGCTTGACGGCCAATGCCTCGCTGAGGGCTCAGGGTGAAGCTACCATCTTTCCGCTTTTTCCCATGGGCTCCCCAGATCTCTGTGATGACCACCTTGTAACCAAACGCCTTTCATGTGCCGGGAGTTGAAGTATCATACGAGTAGGATAAGTCTCTGAAGATGTTGAAAGAAGCCATCTCGCTTCCATTTGTCGATCTTTCTGGTGTGTTACCGAGCTTTCAGCAGTGTTCTCATGTCGGCCCATGGATCCTGAATCCTGAACGCAGATGTGGGCTCCAGACTCTACACTCTACACCAGCGTTGCGACCACGGCACTCGCCGATCCTCCAGAGCGCTGACCATCGTGTTGAGGTAGCTGGGCGCCTGGCGACAAGGATGAATGCAACGACAGGGCTTACCTTCCGCTGCAACTACTGCACTTTCAAGATTCAAGGTATCAAAACGTTAGACCTTCAGCATCTTTCAACCCATGTTTCGCACAGAATGTGCAATGCTTCTCCCGACAGAGACCAAGCATGAACACCTGCAATGCGATGCGTGGATGCAAAGGAAAGTCAGTCTCCCGAAGCCAGGCTGAGCTGAGCCGAGAACGTAAAGGTCGTCGTCATCGAAGCTTGCAATGAACTCGCCGGAAGCAAGGTGCGTTCCCACGTTCCTGGCATCGCTATGCTGCCGAAACACCGTTGGATGTCTGCAAAATCTCCGGGCCCAGTCCCTCCCCACCCACACACCGAACCGTGCTGCGCCTCTTCAATCCGATGCTCCAGTCCGATCGGGCCTGTTGCTTGTACTTGACATAGACCTGTCAAGCTCACAGGGTTTGGCGAGGGCAAGCCACAGGTCAGGTGTTGATGTCTCGTGGCTTTCGGTCAAGCTCAGAGGTGAGGCTAACAGCTGCCGCATCCAGCGAGAGTCACATGAGCCTTGTCGGTCCCCATGAAAGTCAGTTTCCGAGTCAAATCCGCACGTGCTGCTCTTTAACGTCGCGATTCTGAAAGCCTCCTAGCCGACAAGCACTTGAGTTCATGCTGCTTAAACGGCCACAGTGACATCAGAGAGCTGATATCGATGAAGAAAAATATGAACAATAAACATGATAAGAAGTGACCAGGATGACTGATAGGTGGATATCATGATGCACGGAATGATAAGTGCAAGTTGCATTAATAGATTGGTGCCGATGTTCAGGCAAACGACGCGGTGATACTGCAATCCTGAAGCTGATCTCAACGATTGCAACTGTAACCTGCACTTTTCTTGTGATAGCTCCCGCAACACATTTAATGCTTAGTTCATGCCTACTCTGGTGCCAGTATGATGCGTGTCCATTATCGATCCCTCGCTTTCCGTTGACTTTAACACACGGACCTGAATAAATGGAATAAGGCTTCGGGTGCCATTATACTATAATTAAAATGAGGAGCCCCCAAAAAAGTATTGGTACTGATTTAGGCTCCTAGAGTATACAGCATACTGCAAGAGCTTGTAGCCTTTGGCGCCAAACCCTCTCTGGCAAGCAGGTCGGGTGCGCCACTCTGGGATCAGTCTGTGCCTTCCTCGGTCCGGCTGTTGCAAAGCGAACACAGCTAGGTATCTCGCCCGACTCCTCCTACATGAACAGGCGCGCAGATGTTTGCCAAAGTCCGGAAAGGACGAGTCCAGAGGTCTCCTGCCTTATGTTTTGAAGATCCTGACTTCACTGAAACGACGCCTTTCCATGACATCAGCCTCGGCCAGCTGAACAAATCGAACACGCAACTGCCTTGGGGATGTTCACAATGCTTCCCTCTCTTGCAGCTGGACCGCTGCGAGAAGAAGTCAGAGTAGGACTCCCAGTATGTCTCCACGATCACAAGCTCCTGCGAGCTGCATCCCAGCTACCGTGACGAAAACGAGACTGCGGGGACTTCGATTGCCGCTACACAAATACCACACCGGTGGCTATCGAACTTACTGCCAGTACGCAACGCCTGTGCAAGCTCAAGTGCCATGCGAGGTGAAGTTCGTTGCACATAGACGGGTGATCATTTCAGCTGCTGCCACAACGACGATGACGACGACAACTCAGGAGCTAGGCCTGCCACGAAGTTAATGATACTACCTCATACCACTGATGCTACTGCTACTGCGACTGCAACTACGACTACTACGACTACTACGATTACTACGACTAACTACGACTACTCCTACGACTACTACGACTACAGCTACGACGACTACTACTACTCCTGCTGCTGCTACTACTACTACTACTACTACTACTACTACTACTACTACTAGTACTACTACTAGTACTACTACTGTGCTACTGCTACTTCTTCAAATGCAGCTACAACAAGAACTGCTAGTATGACGACGACCACGACCGCGAGGACCACAACTACCACGAAGACGACGACTACTGCTACTTCGCCAACCGCCACTTCCACTGTACCACTTGACAGGTCGAGGACTCCTACAACTAATATGGGGCCTTAATGATTAGACTAGGGTTTTGGAGCCTTTTATGCTATCATTCTAATAAGGAACCCCCAAAACAGTGTTGGTAATTATTTAGCCCCCTATTTACTGCTCCTACCACTACCGCCACCAAAACATTGACGATTGTAATGCTGTTGGTGGTGATGACATATCACGATGACTCGTTCCGCTGTGTCTTTGAGCCAACCAAACGGAATGCCTTGAGATACATGAAGCCACTAGCAACCCACAGTGCTTGGCAGAAGTATGTGTACATAAATCCTAACCGTGTGAAACCCTATGATCCGGCCATGATGTTGATACTCGTCATAGGCAGCGTACGCTTCGTACGACTCCGCATGTATACGTCCTTGTCCGGCCAAGTCTGTGCCTCAAAGCACCTCATTGGAGGAATAAGGTGTAGGGTTTCGGTTCCCAAGGTTTGAAGAAAAGGAATGTAGAGAGCGGCTCCAAGACTCTTCCGCAAACAATGAGGAAAACATGTCGGTCTACGTATACCATAGGGTCAGGAGCGGGTTACTATGCAGGGGTTGCTATAAGCGTGCAAAAGGGGTACTATCAGGGAACTAACTATGAGTGCACAATAATGACAGCTATGACTGCGAGACACCACAAATACGACACGCCAAAAGTGCCCGACCCAAATCACACCGTTCGTGAACCCCTGAGCACGCGTCTGAAATCTCCTTGCGGACCCTACCAGGAGGCCAGACCTCATTCCTGTTGTACAGTGCTCTATCTACCTGACTTTTTCGAGGGCTGGCTAGGGCCCCACACCGGAAGAGCTGCTCGTGGAACTTGTGGCGCGTTTCCGTGGTGGGCGTGACCTGTCATGGCGGTGCAAGCACCCAATTCAAGTTGCAGCCCACATGAGCTACAGCTCCGGGTTCGGGGCATACATGCCGAGAGATGCATCTTGTCTAACAACAACAAGAAGCGAAGCAATGAGCTAAGACTAACCCTTACCCAGTTGCACACATCCCAGATGAGAGAGCAACCTCCAAGCACAAAACCGCAAAATCTCCAGGGAACAATGCTGCAAGTTTGCTCCGGCACATGAGGACGAAGACATCTTGCATTATTGTTGTTGTTTTTTGTTGTTTTGCTGTTGTTGTTGCTGCTGCTACTACTACTACTACTACTGCTACTACTTCTGCTACTACTGCTGCTGCTGCTACTACTACTACTACTACTGCTACTACTACTTCTGTTATTACTATGACCATTATCATTCTCATTAATTTTGTCGTCATTTTCATCATTTCTATATTGACCCCGGGAGCAGCCGTGCCTAGCCTGACAAACCCAACCGGAAATTCCGAACACCTTCGGGTGTAGGATCTCGGGATCAGGGTTCAGAAACTTAGGGTTTAGTTTAGGGTTGGTTCAGAAACTGAGGGTTTACTTTAGGGTTGGTTCAGAAACTTAGGGTTTAGTTTAGGTTAAGACCCAATCTAAATGAGCCAGTGTGGCGATGGAGACCCGGCCCTTGACACCGCCATTGGCCAAGCCCGGCTTGGACCTGGTTTAGCAGGCTTGTGGGGTTTTGGCTTGGGGCTTCTGTGGTGGCATGTTCAAGCTTCAAGGCTTATGGTTGCAAGGTTGAGAGCTTAGGAAGGAGTATGATATTTCTGACGTCTAACTTGCCGTTGGTCATCAACACAGTTATTGGCACAGTGGCTGATCTTGGTAGGACTAATCGTCGTGTCAGCGTTGCAAATACGACACATATCTCTCCTCTTCCTCCTGTTCGCACAGTGAGTTGCTGGCATGTGACACAACGCCGCGATGCGGAGTTCTGCTGCTGTTCTACTATTCTACCTCTTGATTTCCGCATTCTTGCTGCTGTTGCTCAGCTTGTTGGTGCCCTTGCTAGCTAAGCTTGAACCCAACCCTGAACCCTAAACCGTCAATATTGCTTTCCTCGATGACACCCTCATCACCGACTCACTGCTGCGTACCAGCAGCCTCTTACCCAGGATCCCCGATCCGTGCAAGCACCCTAAGAAGCCATCAAAACCAACAAAAGGCGTCGAACCTCCCAACACGCAAGTCGCGCCTGCTGTTGGCCTCCTTCAGGACGTTTCTCGGATGCACGGCGCCCTGGGACCAGAACCACAGCAGGCACTCCCGCTCGTCCCAATCCTGGGCTGCATGCTTCCGGGTCAGTTCAGGATTTGAGACTTCTCTCTCTCTGACTCTGGGGGATTATCGGAATATCAAGGGTGATCACCATGATGATGATGACGAGGTGGATAGCAATATGGTGAAGCAGTAGCAATGTTTTTTGGACGGGGTTGAGGTGGGAAGGCCGGCCGCAGCGAGGAGAGACTATGAACAGCCGGAATTTCATGAATCAAAACATATGTCCTATGCTTCTATGTAAACAGATGCGTGCACGCACACACAATCTCCACACAGACAGGCAGGCAGGCCGACAGACACAGATTGTGAGAGACAGAGACAGGCAGGCTGCGTACATACATGCATGCATACATGCGTGATACAAACAGGTGTAAATGCAAACGCGTGTTTTCATGTAGAAAGGCCAATGGTAGGACTGCTTGTGTTGGCAACCAAGAAGCAAGGGCTTCGTGGGGCAATGGCGTCACCTGGGCCATTGAGCAAAACCATTTTGGAAACTTTCGAGTGACACTAAAGCTGAGGGTTTATAGGGCTTCTTTCAGTCGCCCGCCTCTCTGTTCATGGAGCCCTTTGCCTTTGTCTCCCGCGCTTTGAGAATCTCGCCAATCTCAACCATCTGGTGCTCTGTGTGATGGCAGCCGCAACGCCTACACCGCAACCTTCCAGGCGAGTTGAGGCCCCACCGGAAAGGTACGTAGCAGGCACATGGGCAGTTGTTGCAGTTCATCCTCGGCATGTTCATCGGGTCTAAGTTGCCCAGGTCCTTGTCTCGCGTGTCTGGGCTAAGTGTAGCAGCCTTCTTCCACGGACTGTACACGGCTTTGCCATCGTTCAGCTTGCCGAGAACTCGCACGAGGAAATTCCTTCCTTCGGGCATGTTCTGAATGCAGCCTTCCTTGTCGCGACCCATGCTCACCTCAGCTGTGGCAACCAAGCGAAGGCGTAACAAAGCACAACCACAGGCCTACTATAGGGGCCATAATAATTACCTATACTATTTTGGGGGGTTCCTTATTAAAGGTATAGTATTTTGGACCCCTATTCTAGTTTGTATGGCCCCTATATTACGTCTGGCAGTCTCACCGCCGTTTCTAAAGACCAAGCGGCCTTCTTGACCATGGCATCTTTGGCCGGCTTCACTGCCTTCCCAGACCGGTCGATAACCTGCTTTAGGGTTCAGGGTTTGAGCACTCAAAAGTCAAAAGCAGATATTTAATACGGATCTTACTATTCCGGGTACTTTATTAGGGTCCTCTATTGTCGGAAACCCCACATGATTCTGGCACCCTTGACAGGTTCCAACATGTTGCAGTTCTTGCCAGTCTCGGCATACATAATGGACCAATGCTCCGACTTTGATGGTTTGGCTGCCCAATCTACCCTTCTGCTTCATACTCCCGAGCGGCGGTGCAATAGAAGCAGCAGCAGCAACAGCAGCATCAATCCGAGCAAAGAGACAGCCGGCAAATGTAGAAGGTGCAGCAGTAGCGGCAAGAGTACTCGTCATTGTCGTGGTGCTCCTCCTAGTAGCAGTGGGGGCAGTAGTGGCGGCAGTAGTAGTAGTAGTAGTAGTAGTAGTAGTAGTAGCAGTCGCAGTAGTAGTAGCAGCAGCAGCAGTAGGAGGAGCCGGAGTTGGCGGCGGTGGTGGTCGTGGTGGACGTGCTCCTGCTAGTGTTGTAAGAGTAGCACTTGTGTGTGTGTGTGTGGAAGTACAGGTAGTTTCATCCTACTGGTTTTGCTGCTGAACTTTGCGTTCTTCTTCATCTCGCTGCTAATATTCATTATTGTAGTTGAATTTATGTTGCTGTTGCTGATGCTGCTGTGATTTGCTGCAGCTTCGAGCCCCACCCATGTCTGTGTAACGAGAGCCTAAAGCACATGCAGCCACTCCAGCCGGGAAGCCATCTCGATGTAGAACTCCCGGACCGGTTCGGGAGACTTCCACTTCCTCGGTGATTCTTGCTACAGGCCATGATGTTACGGTGAAATCCTTCGAAGTCAAGAACATCATAAATCCGCATGGGAAGCAAGTGTCATCTCCAAGCACTCTTCAAACTGTTCGCCCATGTCCAAGTCGATACTGAACTGCTCATCCTCTGGTGCATTGGCGGAAACGGGCGGCTTGTAGCCGGCTTTCGCACCTGCGAAGGCCGCACACGAGAGTGTTTAACCCATGAGCCCATAACGCCATAACATCTAATGTCCCGTATCAGGGTGAATGCGAGCACGTGTTTCTCGTATGTCCTTCTGTATGTCACGAGAAAGAGAAACTTGTTGACCCACAGAGCATTGCCGCACACCAGTGCTTACCTACTATAGGGGCCTTCGTAATTGGGTTGGGGCCCACTGTACTATAATTACACGAAGGAACCTCGAAGTTTTGGTAATGGTTTAGGCCCCTATAGTGTATATGCGATGACAGACTGCGTCAAGTCTGTGCAGAATCAATCCCGTAGCCTCCCCGCACAGACACTCTTGGGACAACTTGTATTAATACTAGAATGGGGTTTAGGGTTTTGGGGTTTGAAAGTTTTAGGGCTTAGGGTGTTTAGGATTTAGGGTTTCTAGGGCTTAAGGATTGGGATTAAGCCATCAAGAAAAACTATCATCCACTCACGGTCCAGGCACCTGGCGAAGCCTTCGGGGGCTGCGCCGGCGTCAGCACAGGATTGAGGTGACGCATTTAGAGGCACATCTAGCAACAACTGCAGCACAGGGCGAATTGTGCCTATCTACCAGCGCGTTACGGCTAAACTGTTCGAGGCTGGGTTAAGGACTCTAGGAGCCTCATTGGAAAGATTCTGTCCAAGCTATATGTACCGTCTGAGCTGAGATGCAGGAACCTTTAGATACCCTACATGTTTGAAAGATGTGGAGCTTTGGTCTGGGGCAACATACCAGGGACAGTTACCGCTCTAGCCCGGGTACATGGCCATGAGCCCCCTGCATGGTACTCTGAGCAACAAACACCCCACCGGCGATCTGCTACTGCTGGGGCTGTTCGGCTGCTAGGAGATGTGGCCAGGCAGTTTTGTCTGAAGTGGCGTGCCGGGAATCATAGTGACTCAAAGCCGAGGGTATTGCTCTACAAGTTGCTGGTGAGCTAAATCTTCCTCCAACTGAACTCGCAAAACCTGGTCAATCTTGAGATGGCCCAAACTTCATGGAACTGACTTGAACCCTAAACCCTAAACCCCTAAGCCCTAAACCTTAAGCCCTATACCTTAAACTCTAAACCCTAAACCCCCCACACTATTACACCCTAAGCCGACGACTTAAGTGGCTGGAAAGGGTTTGGCCAAGACCAGGGCAAGGCTATAGAACACCCGAACCCTAACTCCCATGGTCATATATTCCCAGAGGGTCCATATAGACTACCAGTATGAAGTCAAGTCCCAAAAGACCATCCTTATTATGGCTTGGGGAGCCTAATTCCATAATGGTAGTATATATTGACCCTCTGGGATTCTAGGGGCCCAACAGTTAGAATAGGGTTTTTGGGGGGTACTTGTATCTGCAATTATCAAGAAGAACGGGTGCTTTTGAAGGTTAACTACAAGGGTTACTAAGGGTTTTACAAGGCTTTAGTACAGGGCCTCAAAAACTAGAATGGGGCTTTGGGTATATCGTGCTACCATTATTCAAAACAACCCTCAAGATGGGAGAGCTCTTGAAAGTGCATTTCTCTCTCATGGAGCGCTGAGTTTGACACATGACACCCCGAACCGAACGCATCCATGGTTGCATTTTCAGCTCGAGCAGAAGAGCTTTGCTCAAACCTTGATCTCCATCTTCGCCCGCACCTGTGACAGTTTAGGGTTTACGGTTTAGGGTTGTTTCCGGACCTGGAGGTGCACATATCGGGGTCTAGGAAGTACAAGCTAATGTTACTTGACAGACGGATAGAGCTGCAGCTCATGCCAAGTGCACAGCCCGTATAGGCAATTCTTCAAGCCCTGGGTTTATATAGGCCATTACTCATGTTACGCTATTTGGCGGAGTAGATGATAACATGTCACGTGGACACTACTGAGCCTGTTATGGGAGGCTTCTCACGTCTTCGACATCCACGTACAAGCCTTCTTGGAGGATCATCAGTTCTTGCACGCACGGAAATCATAGTCGTAAGCACTTATACTGTCCACAGTCTAAAGTTTCTTGCAGCTGTTGCCCAAGAAGTTTCCAGTGAGCACAGATCCCACAACGAAAGCTCTGCCGCCTCACCAGGAACTCCGCAAAGGTTGCCTTGGCTCACGTCGAACAGGTCCTTCCACTTCCGAGCATGAGATTCAGGTGTTAGGGTTCAGGGCTGAGGAGGAAGCACACCTGCGAACATCCTCTGCACAAGGAATGTCAAGCTGAAGCTGCAGGTGCGATGACAGGTGCTGAACTGCCTCGAAGCAGGGTAGAAAAAAGCCACGTGAGACAAAACAAGCAAGGAATTATGTAGGATGGGGCCAGAGTCCTGAGGTGCATGCCGGCACGATCCGCAGCGACAAAAGCAGCCCGAAGATCGGGTGCTCAGATCACATAGCCACGCATGCCAAATACACGAACACAGACGGACAGAGAGAGACGGAGAGAGAGAAGGAGAGAGAAGGAGAGAGAGGGAGAGAGAGAGAAGGAGAGAGAGAAGACCCGTAGTTCAGAACAAGCACCCCGTGAGGTACTTAGCCTGGAAAGCGCATTGGGCACCGGAGGTCCAATGGGAGTTTCTGAAATCAGGGGACGCTAATATAGTATCCTAAATAGTAGGATCCTTATTATAAGGACCCCCAAAATAAGGTACCCAGAATTTTCGGAAACTCCCAAATGATCCTTGTGAAACTCTGCCTTTACAGATCTTGACGGGCCCGAATACTGTACATGCCTTAAAAGTCAGAATTGGCTTTTGGTGGCTCCTTGTTACCATCATAACATAACATACCCCCAAACCCTAGTCAAAATATTCAGACCCTTATATTCGATAGATGAATCTGGAAATCGGACGTGCAAGACCAGAACGACCTGTTTATCGAGAAAGACCACGGGTCGACAGTCCTCCAAGGGCAACAGGTACCGGAAAATGTCACAGCCACTCCTCCAGGCTTCATCATACTCACGCTTTGTCGATAGTCAGCACAACCGTTCTGCCCATTGCCATATTCGCAAGCATCGGTCTCGCCAGCTTCATCGTCTCCACCACAAGCGGCATCACCACCGTCATCTTCCTTACCACCATCACAGTTGCCCACCTACATCCCCGCCTTGATCATCGTCATCCTAAGTTTTGTGATCACTGCCATGCCCATAATAATCGTTATCATGTTTTGCGTTCTGGGCCATGGCCAACATGCCCAATACTATCATCATCACCAAAGTCGGACTCGCTGATTTCTTTTTGATCTGGATCACCTTCAACACGCCCAAAATCAACACCATCATTATCAGACTCTTGCCGGTCGTTGCTATCTAGAAACTCTGATCCCAATGGTCGGGTAGCAGTGAGTAAGTATGTTCCTTTACGGCCCCTATAACATTAGAGCCTAACCTGGTAGTCGTGTTAAGAATAAGGTCGATCCAATTATAATATATAACCCCTGTATAATCAGACTTTAATGCAGCCCGAAACCCTGTACGAATTTGAAGCTTGATTTCCCCTAAACCCTAATTCTAGCATGGGCCCGTCGGGCCCCGGTTCGTTCCCTAAACCAGTAACGAGACGCAGTAAACACTCTAAAGGCCCGGCCCCTGTATGCCTCCCGTGCGGTGCATTTGCAAGCAGGGTCGAATAAGATCAGCCACTACACAAGCCTATTCACTTGCTGGGTTCAGGCTTAATCTGTCTCCCTTTGCCTAGCGGCCGTTTCCGGGTAGGAAAGGAAGTCGCAGAAGGACCTCACTCGGCGTCTTAAGGTTTCGGGCGTGGGCCTCGGTCTGGCACATAATGCGGGGCATCGAACAGTTGGGTGGGCTCCTCCCACGTTTTGGATGGTCATCCACTAGGGTATGTTTTGTGAGCACTTGCAAGTAACAAGGTCAAGGTCAAGCTTCGGGCTTCTGATATAGCGCCCTCAATAATTAGAATAGAGTTTGGATCCCCATTATACTACAATTATAATACGGAGCCCCCAAACTACTGTATGTAATTATTCATGCCCTTACATTACCGCTGAAGGACACGTCTTTTCACCCGTCTTGTGTACCCTTTGCTGTTTCCTGGTCTCTCCCAATGAACCAAAGTCAAACCTTTGAAACAGAACCAATGCCAATACCTTAGGTAACTTCGGGGCCTTAGTAGGAGAACAGGGTTTCGGGGGCGGGGGTACGTTGTACTAGAATTATAGTAAGGACCCCTAAACCCTGTTCTACTTATGAAGGCTCCAACATGAGCATCAGAGTATGGTTGCAAGCGCGGCGCCGACAGCTCGTCTTAAGCCTTTGACCCGTCTTGTGTACCCTTTGCTGTTTCTCGGTCTCTCTCAATGACCAAAGTCAAACCTTTGAAAGAGAACCAATACCTTAGGTAACTTAGGGGCCTTAAAAGGAGAACAGGGTTTGGGGGGGTACGTTGTACTATCATTATAGTAAGGACCCCTAAACCCTATTCTACTTATTAATAAGGCTCCAACATTAGCATCAGAGTCTGGTTGCAAGCGCGGCGCCGACAGCTCGTCTTAAACCTTTGACCCGTCTTGTGCACCCTTTGCTGTTTCTCGGTCTCTCTCAATGACCAAAGTCAAACCTTTGAAAGAGAACCAATACCTTAGGTAACTTAGGGGCCTTAAAAGGAGAACAGCGTTTGCGGGGGTACGCTGTACTATCATTATAGTAAGGACCCCTAAACCCTATTCTACTTATTAAGGCTCCAACATTAGCATCAGAGTCTGGTTGCAAGCGCGGCGCCGACAGCTCGTCTTAAACCTTTGACCCGTCTTGTGCACCCTTTGCTGTTTCTCGGTCTCTCTCAATGACCAAAGTCAAACATTTGAAAGAGAACCAATACCTTAGGTAACTTAGGGGCCTTGAAAGGAGAACAGGGTTTGCGGGGGTACGTTGTACTATCATTATAGTAAGGACCCCTAAACCCTATTCTACTTATTAAGGCTCCAACATTAGCATCAGAGTCTGGTTGCAAGCGCGGCGCCGACAGCTCGTCTTAAGCCTTCACCCCAAGCCTGTCACCCAAAACTGGAAGCTGAAGAGGCATGCAAACCCCAGGGACCCGACACGTAAAATTTCTTACAACCCTATGTAAGAAAACAGCGTGTGGTCTACTATATACACGATATGCTAAATACTGTAAACTCTATGCGGCATGCTATGTGTACTATATGCAACATGTCTTTTACATGTACTGTATGCTGTATACAAAATGCATTTTTACTGTATTATCACGACGCACAAAGATGCAGAAACATTGCCTATCGTATACATCATCTGCTTCGATTCGCAGAGCGCATTGTTTTGCATTTCCGGTCTGTTCCTTCACGGTGTAAGCGAGTTGAGTCCACAAGCCTCTCGCCGCACTCACGGACCCGCAACAAACATGTTATCCGTAAAAGAATCATGGTGATGTTTCCACCTTTTTGCGGCGTTCTTATGGACGAGAATTCATCGACTTCTGCTGCAGGATTGCACCTGGCTCGTGTGCAGATTGTGCGACCTCATGTTATTTACATGACAAATGCTGGACTCCTTCGGGTAAAGTGCTGCATCCCTCGAAACAAGCAGCCTTTAGCCAAAAGTTGTAATACGGATTCCTAGAAGCATACCACGGCTATCTGAAGGTTGCCACCCGGAAACAAGACAAGACCCACAGCTAGACAGCCGAATTCGCAAACTCCGTCAACGAAGAAACTACGAAGCATTTCCACGGCTATCTGAAGGTTGCCACTCCGGAAACAAGACAAGACCCACAGCTAGACAGCCGCAAACTCCGTCAACGAAGAAACTACTGCAGTCGCAAGGTGCTAGCTCATGAGCGGCTAGGCTTTTACACGCTCACACGACTTTGGAGACCCGAAGAAGCCCCAAAAGAAAGGATGCGGAGGCGTTGCGAGAGGCAAATGAAGAGGAAAAGATCAGGCCGAGCTGGGCCCGGCAACGAAAAGCGACATGTATGTAGGTAGGTATTGGTAGGTAGGTAGGTAAAAGTAGGTGGGTATGTAGGTACGTATGTGTGTAGGTAGGCAGGTAAGTAATGTTATGTATGTAAGTAGGTAGGTAATAATAGGTAACGGTAAGTAGGTAAGTAATGGTGGGTAGACAAGGTATGATGTACGTGTGGCTGCAGCAGCTAAGACCTGTCGAGTCGAGTCCAAGAGATCGCAAGAATGGACCCTAAACCCCTGAACCCTAAACCCAAAACCCTAGAACCCCTAATGTAGGAACCTGATTGAGTCTAGGCTGAGGACCTTAGCCTTCGAAAGCTTTCCTGGGGTCTTGTACTGGTTGCAGGGTCTTGGGCTGCATTGTGTAGTAAAAGCCTTGGTTGGCTATAAAGGCAACCGTAGAGACTATAAGGAAATGACACGTATATCGAAAGTATATGTATAACAACCACTCTTTTTATATACATATATGTGTGTATGTGTATATATTCATATATAGAGAGGAGCCAGGAAGTTGGTACATCATTATCCTCATACCCTTAGGGTAAAGTATAGGGAATCCCTGCGCAAATCATCCTAAGCCCACGTTAAAACCTTTCTGGGCTTCACTATATAGGAGCTTGGGAATAGGGGAACCCTCATATCGTACCCTACAGTAAATAGTAGGATCCTTGTCCATAGGGATCAAAACAGCCCAAAAGCCTAATGTAGTATGGTCTTTGGGCCCAATAGCCTTCATGTATGAGCCCTTAGAAAATAAGGATTCCAAAATTTCGCGCTCCCAGCGTCGACCTGCAGGGCTCTCGCAATGCTCCACCCTTCCGAGATGTGGCGGCAACGCAGCCCGCGTGGTTTGAGGATTCGGAGTGATTCGGGTTTAGGGTTTAGGGTTTATAGGGTTTATAGGGTTTACAGGGTTTAGGGCTTATAGGGCTTAGGTTTAAGGGAGGGATTGTAGGGATGTGTCGGGTTTAGGGTTTAGGAAAGACTGGTCCTCGCCCAATGGCTGCGGATGAAGATCTGATGCTCCCTTGACCGATACCTCTCAGGAACCTCAAGCTGTGAGTGCGTGTCCCACTCCCGAAAATAGGGGACAATACGGGACCCTAAATTGTGGGAGCCTTTTTATAAGGACCCCAAAATAATGTACCCCTATTTTTCGGAATCTGGAAACATTTTGACCGCTGTACATGACAGAGGCCTCTACCTCAAACCCCAAAACAGACCACAAGCTAGGCCTGCATCAAATTCGAAACATTGCAACGGAAACGTTTGTCGCGATCATGCAATGATGATGGGTTTACGGTTTGGGATTTCTACACCTAGGCGTCTTAGTGTTCAACGCGGGCCGGGGCTTCACATTCGGCGGTGGCACACCGCGATGGCCCACCTGCATCCTCTGCCCTGGCGTAGGACACGGGTCCTAGCCTTTATGGCAAAGGCGAATGCTCGGAGATCCAGGAGCAGAGACGCACAGGTCAAGAGGTAAATTTTTTTGAATGCCAGCCATGCTGTATGTAGATTTAGATCTCCTACAATGTGTTTTAGCCGGCACGCACAAAAACTTTTTATGTTAATTGTCAATGCCGCTCAGTACCATCCACCTCTGCTCCCTTTCTCCATTCCATGTCTCCACATTGCTTATATCCTGGCTGCCAAAGAGCTCCTGATATGGTGAGATGCCTCGACGCTTTGAGGGTTTCGTGGCCAAGTCCATATCTCGCCACCCTAAACCCTAAACCCTAAATCCTAAATCCTAAACCCTAAACCCTAAACCCTACATCTAAAATCTCTTCAGGAGCTCTGAATGCCGCGAAAAGTGCGGTCTCGAGACCGCAGGCGACCACGCTGCTTCTAATAGTAGTCATTAATAATGGTAATAATAGGTATAATAATCATATATAATAGTAACTGGTAATAATAGGTATAATAATCATAATAGTAACTATAGGGATAGAAATTATAATGTAATCATAATAGTAACTATAAGGATAAAAATTATAATGTAATCATAATCGTAATAGTGGTAATAATAGTAATAGAGGGGTTGGGCGCGCAGCAGGGTGAGCTCTTGAGACCTCGAAGCCTGAGGTCATCAGGAAAACCCCAGTGCTGGTCCCCTGAATGGTCCCAGCTTCCTCACCATGGGCCACGAAGGCGGGTTTAGGGTATATGTAGGGTTTAGAGTTTAGGATTTAGGGTGTAGGCCTTAGGGGTGCGAATCAACTGCGGAGAACATGTCGAAGGGCGCTAATGGCAATCAGTCGAATCCCGGCCATGCTACAACATCTTACTACCATCTCCTGCCACTACCGCTAGTCTGTATTCAGCAAACGGAGCGCGAATCAACCGAACAACAATGGCAGCAGTGGCAACGAACGTCACCCATGATGTTAGCGGTGGTGCTGCTGCTGAAGAGGGCGACGGTGGCAACGATGCACGTGACGTGGCGAGGTTGACGATGATGAAGACGATGACGATAGCATAATTTCTCATGAAATGCCCAGTCCCTATATTCGCTTATCAACTGCTTTATATCTGGCGACACCACAGTGAGCCACTGGGACCACATCGGGGGGAAGACTCCGTGCATAGGGAATGACTAGGTGCAGATTCCAACCTTCGATTCGTGAACCTTTGCATGCAACAGCACGCCGTGGGCACTTTACCAGAGCTGACCTTGGAAGGCCACCAGACACTGCACCTCGAAATCCCACATTGTTGGCGCAATGAAAATTGCAATTGCAACTGTGGCCGCTGATGGTAGTGGTAGTTTGCCCAAGA